CATTTTAGGCTGGGTTGACAGAGAGCCGAGGTAATTTAAACATTTTTGTTTTGGTGCCAAGTGTGCAACTCAATCCAAGACCATATTCACACACATATATGCCAGTTGTTACCTTAATAAATCTTTAGATGAAACTGTCAGAGTCTGCTTACATTGAGGAAGGAATAGGTAAGTCTTGCAAATGTAAATTTAACAGATAAATTATGTACTGTATTTTTCTGGGTATACGACACCCACATGTATACAACAAACTATATTTTTCTGGGTATAAGACACCCACATGTATACAACAAACGATATTTTTCTGGGTATACGACACCCACATGTATACAACAAACTATATTTTTCTGGGTATAAGACACCCACATGTATACAACAACCTATATTTTTCTGGGTATAAGACACCCACATGTATACAACGACCTATATTTTTCTGGGTAAAAGACACCCACATGTATACAACAAACTATATTTTTCTGGGTACAAGACACCCACATGTATGTGAAGACCTATATTTTTCTGGGTATAAGACACCCACATTTATGCGATGACCTATATTTTTGGGGGGAAAAGACACCCACATATAGATGACAAATTATATTTTTCTGGGTTTAAGACACCCACATGTATACGAAGACCTATATTTTTCTGGGTATAAGACACCCACATATATACGACAAACTATATTTTTCTGGGTATAAGACACCCACATGTATACGACGACCTAAATTTTTCTGGGTAAAAGACACCCACATATAGATGACAAATTATATTTTTCTGGGTATAAGACACCCACATTTATACGAAGACCTATATTTTTCTGGGTATAAGACACCCACATGTATACGACGACCTATATTTTTCTGGGTATAAGACACCCACATGTATACGACTGCCTTTATTTTTCTGGGTATAAGACACCCACATGTATACGACTGCCTTTATTTTTCTGGGTATAAGACACCCACATGTATACGACGACCTATATTTTTGGGTATAAGGCACCCACATGTATACGAAGACCTATATTTTTTGGGTATAAGACACCCACATGTATACACAGAACTATATTTTTTTAGCCCAAGAATTAAGAAAAAAATATTTAAAACCCATTCCCTGTGAAAGACAACCCCTAATTTTAGACTGAAAAAGAATGTGGGAAAACACAATTTTATACATGGAAAATATGGTAGGTGAAGTCAGCAGTACAAGTTACCTTTCATTCTTCTAAAGAAGCGAGTTGAAATTGTTATATTTATTAGTCTATAGGTTCAGAGGAAAGGTAACACAGTCATATAATCTAATTGCTGCTGATACACTGATGCTGAAGATGAGGACATATCAGATATGGGAATATCCCGAGTGCTGTGATGTCAGTTCTGGGCTCAGAGCCAGCTCACCTCAGCTCAGGCTAAAAGTACTGATGTCATTGTACCAGATTTGATCCTCTATGTCTTGGTCTCTCGGAAAATGTGTCTAGATTGTCTTTGCATACCTGGTCAGAGGCATCAAGTCAGACCTGCAAGTATATGGATCAGGGCACTAAAGAGGGAGGTTAGAACAATTGTTGGCATTGGAAATAGCTTTATTGATTGTGTACGTAATACAGAATTGGTCATCACTTATTGGTACATGAAATCACGTCTTCTCCGTTTCTTCTGCTCCCTAACCCCCAGTGGAGAATAGGCCGTCAACAAACTTACACTAAGTCCTATCTTTCGCTATCACATACAGCTCACCTCATATCTTCCCTGTCTTTTGAATTTCGCTCTAGTTTCCTTCTCCGTTTGTTTGTTGGTCTGCATTTATTCCTTTGAGCATGTGGGTTCCAGTGCAAAGCTATTCTATTGATACTTTGACCAAGTTTTCACATGTCCTATCAAACACTTGTCTCCGCTATTTTAGTCACTGGAATTCAGGATTTCTTGTAGTGCTAAAATATTTTATGAATGACTAACCCACTGCTTCAAGTTGTTAAACCCTTTCACCCAATCAGAAACCCCCCCCCCCCCCCCCCCTGCATCCCCTCCCCCAAAATGAATGACCTTTTTATCACACTTCATTACAAAAAAAGCATCCTTATAATTGTCTAAAACCCTACCCTAAGGACCAGAAGAAGCAGGAGAAATGTTGAATCTTGGTCAGTTTTTATAAATTTACATTGTATGGAACCCCTAGACCACAGAGAAAACAGGCAGGAGTTAAGTCTTATGCTGCTTTGAATACATCACGTCACAATAAAATGTAAATTTCTCTGCAGTCACTAAACGTCGGAATAAAGAAAAGATTGATTTCTGTGTGAAGGGAAGTGATCACTTGATACAAATGTAACAAAAAAACGACCTGGTTTCCATACCTTAGACCATTTAAAATTGGTTTTAGGAAACAGTGTTACGTAATAATGGAGTTATATGACATCATGGGGAATGCATAGTTTGTAAACTATATTTTTCCTCACCCTTAATAATATCTTTCAAAAATGTTTTTTGTTTAAAGTTAATTAAGTCATACAAACCCTGTCTAGACATTATGCAGTTGCAGCCAGTAGCAAAGCTGTCATAGAGGCTTACTGCCCATTGTCTAATAACATCATGTTAAGTTGGATCAGCTTTTGGGGGGGGGGGGGGGGGGGGGCTAAAAAAAAAATCTGGCTTTGTATAGATTAAACCCAAGACCTTCAGGTCAGCAGGCGAGTGTGTCTGACCACTCCCGACACCTTCAGTTGTCCCACCCTTTAATTCTGCTGTCTTGTTTTCTTTGCAGAAATTTGACCAAAATACTTTTGTCCCAGACTTTAATTCTGCTGTCTTGTTTTCTTTGCAGAAATTTTAAAAATACTTTGTCAGACATTTGTGCCCTGTGTGCCAACCGAAGAACTGGAGGACAGAGTGTTTAGCCAAGTCTGCAAACTGGTAAACTCACAACACTGTTATCTCATTCCTTGTTCCAGCTTTCCGCTGGCTAGAGAACACGACACACATACACACTCACACATCATGATTGTAACTAACTCAGAAAGCATGCTGAGAAAGATCTGGACAGGCATGCTTCCTGCAGAGTGGCATGCCTCACTGCGGAAGACACAGGTGCAGAGTATTGTCTGAATTTTTTCACCAGGGTGTGTTGGGAAATGAACAGGCGGACAGACTGTCTGGCTTTGCACAGCTTTGTGGAATACTGATGCATGATAAGGCAGACTTGGTTAGTGCCTTGTCGTAGAGCTTGTACAGTTCGGAGGAGCAGATTGATCACCACATTGTGGTGAGAGTGATGCAGTTGGGAGTGACAGGAGGTTCTGGCAGATGCTCGAGGCTCAGAGGAAAGGCAAGACAGACGTTTAATCAGAATGCTACTGGTACAATTAGTATCGGAACTCTTTGCTGGCTGCTGAAGATTGATACTGAGCGCTTATAGGAATACCCTGAGTACTGTGATATCGGTTCTTGAATCAAATCAAATCATTCATGGTTGTAGAGGCTAGAACATGAACAGCAGTCTCATAGTCTCTTTGCCACATCCTTCTTTTTAACCCCCTGTGTGAGTTCCAGGGCCCCATTTTATGACCCCCCCCCCCCCCCCAATAATAACCTACGCCTGCCCCCACCCCCTCCGCCACCACACCCCCTCTGCCACCAACAAGCTTGTCGAAAAAGGCGACTAATTTTGGATTTTCTTCTCTGAAGTCAAAATGTGTCTGCTTGAGAGTTGATTATTTAGAAGTCTGCGTATAAGTAAGCCAGATCTGTCAAATGGAGGTGCAGGCAAAATTCAAGTTCTGGAATAAGACTAAAGTTCAGAAGTGGATGAACAGCCAGAGCTTTCCACTGGAGTTTACAGTTTACAGCTGGTGAGCGCTAAGAAAAGGAAGAAGTCTTTTTGTTTTGTTTGTTTTTGTTTGGGGTTTTTGGTCATAGTCTAAAATGTTAGCAATTATTTTGTAGCAATTTTATCACATTTTCATTGTCAGACACTAGAATGTCGGAAATAATTTATCAGTATCTTTATCACATTCCTTATGTTTGATACTAAAATGTTAACAAAATTCTCTGTGTTTCATGACAGAGACTAGAATGTTAGCAGGCATCTTTGTCACATTCTCTCACCAGAGGCTAGACGTTAGATACTAGAATGGTAACAAAATTCTCTGTGTTTCATGACAGACACTAAAATGTTAGCAGGCATCTTTGTCATATTCTGTCACCAGAGGCTATACGTTAGATACTAGAATGTTAACAAAATTCTCTGTGTTTCATGATAGAGACTAAAATGTTAGCAGGCATCTGTCACATTCTCTCACCAGAGGCTAGATGTAAGATGCTAGAATGTTAACAAAATCTATGTTTTTATGACAGAGACTAGAATGTTAGCAGGCATCTTTGTCACATTCTCTCACCAGAGGCTAGACGTTAGATGCTAGAATGTTAGCAAAATTCTGTTTTTCACGACAGTCTTGAAACTTAACAGACATGTTGGTCACAATCAGCAAACTGGTCACAAAGTGTTCTCCTAGAATGTCACCCAAAATGTCATTCTCTGTTTTTTTCTCCACCATCCTGTCATCTGTTTATTTTGTTGTTGTAGAAAATGGTGTTTTAACAATGTTTTCATCCCACTTGTCCATTTTCCACAGGTTTTTTCTCTTTTCTTTTCAAGAAATATTTAAGTATCAGAAACTATTCAGCAAACATTTCATACACTTGTGTCAAATTCTGTGAGACTAATTTTCCAATAAACAACTCATAAAATTTTTTCACATGTTTTTCTTGACAGTGGAAACAGTTTGGAAACAGCAGCTGAGTTTCAAGGTTAGGAAAACTCCAGGGGGAAAAAAGATGGAAAACCTGAAAATGTGGGTGCCATAACTTAGAAATCCCACCAAACACATCATTCTACCTCCTTCCTCTTTATTCAGCTTGCTCTTTGTTTCCTCCAGATTCAGTGTGTAATTAATGAATTTTGTCTCTCTCTCTCTCTCCTCCCCTCCAACCTCTATTCACCAGATTCAGAGTTTCAATAATGGAGCCATCAATAAGATAACTTTGGTTGTTAAAGGTGATGTCCATGACACAGCTGGTGAGGTCAAGTCTGCTGTTGTAGAATATCTTGAGGTAAGATGACCACTTCTTTGTCCAGCATCTTATTCGTCATTAATTGTTCTTTACATACTCTCTGGAATCTGTATTGCAACTTTATTTTAATCTAAATAATTACTTTTAGTTAGTGCATGTCCTTTGCACAACCAGCACCAGCATATTTTTTTTTGTTGCTAGGCAATTTTATGTTCAGCTCTTGAATCCACTTCAAAAACAGTGCAGAGCTGTCTGCTACCAAACTGTCCTCAGCTGGGATCGAGCCTGGTAGCCCAAAGTTACGGAGCACACTCACAGTATCTAAGCTACAGACACCAACAGTCCGAATATATTAAAGGTTGAAAGTAAAGAGCATCACCTTGATTAAGAAACTCTCTTGCCTTTTAAGACATGATTGTAGGGTCACACAGATAATGTCAAAACTGCTTAACGTCCTCTTGAAACCACCTTGCAGCCCAGGATGAAGACCACCGCTCAAGACCTTGGTTATTTGGACAAAGAAGAAGAGGGAGAAGATGATTCAGTTTGATATCTTTGTTTGTGTGTTGTAGTGGATAAAGGACACCATTGGATGTGTGGAATGTTGCATCAGACATGTCCTGGCCGTGCCAGGGACTGTAGAACTGTCATGGGTCCAGTCCCTGCCCTTCTGTGCTGTGCATGTTCTCAAAGAAGCCTATGCACACTGCAAGGACAGCACCAGTCTGTATGGGGATCTACTGCACCATGTGGGTAGCCTGCTGGCTGAGTTGTTCAAGAGGACACATTCTTTGCAAGTGGTGAGTTTGTGTTTTGTGTTGAGTTGGTAGTTGTGTGTGGTGAGATACTAGTCAGCCATATTAAGGAAGAGCTTCCTTCCAAGTCGGAGTGCATCTGCCTGAGAGGCAAGGAACCAACAATCTGCACACAGTGAGGTCAGATCTGTTTAACGGATGTTGCACGCAATATTCAGGTTCTGGAACAAGACTGAAGTCCAGAGGTGGACAAACAACCAGAACTTTCTGCCGGAGTTTACAGTCAGTGAATATGAAGAAGAAGAAGGAGAGTAACAGAACATATTCCTTAATGGCTACACACATAATTGCCTAGAGATACTGTTAAAATCAGCCAAAAAGCAATAACCTAATTATTTGATCATCCTCATGTAGCATGTCCTTTGCAGAACGTTGCTCACATCACTGTCTGCCTGAAAGAAACTCGGTCTCTTGCCAGCTCTCCCGCCTCATGTACTTTCATACTCAAGGAGTCACTTATATCCTGCGCCCATCCTCGGGTTGGTCGGCCCCTGCCCCTCCTTCCTGGCACCTTCTGCTATAATTTTTTTCCAATCCGTTTTGGTGCTTGATATGGCCAAAATATTTCAGCTTCCAAAACAGGATGCTGTTTATTAGCCAAACTTCCTTGATGTTCAGATCTTTCAAGATGTCAGTATTTCTCCTCTTCTTTGTCCAAGATATTCTGAGAATCTTTTTATAGCATTTCAGCTCAAAAGCTCCTATTCTCTTTCTTAAGGACTGGGAGATAGTTCACGACTCACATCCGTATGTAGCCACAGGGAAGATGCATGCTCTCAAAATTCTAATTTTGATCTCCTTGCTGGTGCTTAACCATAGACTTTTTAGGCTGTTTAATTTTTGCATTGCTATGACCATCCTTCTTTTAATTCCTGTCAAACAGTTTCCATTGCTATTTATTATAGAAACTAGATGATCAAAGTTTGTGACATTTTCATTTTCTTCACCATTTATTGTTATTTTTGGGTGACAGCCAGTTTTATCTGTGGACATTATTTTCGTTTTCTTTAAATTCAAGAACAGATTTTGATCTTCACTGTGCTTTTGGACAGACAATATTAAATTTTCTATTCCCTTTAAGCACAGGAGGACTGTGTCATCTGCGTAGCGAAGTTCCGGAATAGGGTTGCCACCAATTTTGAGCGGATCATAACTGTCACAAGTCTAGTCATTTTTGACATTTCTCATTATATTTTCTGAGTTTATATTGAATAGGTATAGTAAGAGAATGCACCCCTGCCTCACCCCCTTTTGCACCTCAAACCAATCTGATGTTTCACCAGCTGCTCTAGTGGCTGCTTGTTGTTCTTGATAAAGATTTTCAATTAAATGCCCAAATGTGCTGGAAATCCCATACTTCTCATAATAGTCCACAGATTCTTATGTTGGACACAATTAAATGCCTTGCTTTAATGAATAAAACAAGCATCAAGATTTACGTTGTATTCTCTACATTTTTCAAAAATTATTCTCACATTAAAGATGTGATCCCTAGTTCCTCAACCCTGTCTGAAACCCGCTTGTGCTTCATCTAGCTCATAGTGTAATGCCCTTTCTATCCTCTTCATGATAATTCGTAAGAGAATTTTGCTAGCATGACTTGTTAATGCAATGGTACAATTCTTTGATAGGATGACATTTTCTTGACTCTGGGCACGTAGTGGATAAGAATGGTGTCATCAGAGTCATTTACCACACACTGATTAGATGTTTGCTGAAAAAAATGACAGGTGGGAAGAAGAAGAAGGAGAGTAACAGAACATATTCTTTAATGGCTACACACATAATTGCCTAGAGGTACTGTTAAGATCAGCCAAGGCTGTTGTCTGGTAGTTCGCAAGAGTAAGCAGAACCAGCATCTTTTATGTTTTTTTTAAAAATTAGGCATACTTTTTTTACTTGAGTGCTGATATAGATATAATAGACACTTGGGTGAGTACTGGCGCGCAAACACACACACACACACACAAGCATGTAGTAAGTTTATTACTACCATGCTAGTCTAGAATTTCCTGTGGTCAGATATACAGTGTAATTGAAGACACTGCGATTTGTGCATTTAGGAACGAAAAGTTTCAATTTTTTGTTTGCTTCATTGTGTGTTAATGTAACCCTGTAGTAATGCAGCAGACAAGATAGAGCAAGATGTCTGATGTCATCAACTGCAATATACATGTCTGACTGATTGTTTGTCTTCAGTCTCTTGTGAAGCTGCTGGAGAAACTCTCCATCACTGGAGCTCAGTTAGAAGACCATGTTCATGTTCTGTGTTCAGGTAACAGTTGGAGCTTTTCAGTCTAACGGTGTATAACAGATTACTGTAGCAAAATAGATCCATAATGTAGCAATGTAGTTACTATAGAAGTCACTGTAGCTGGTATAAGAAGCAGTATAATGACTGTAAGTATTAATGCACTTCCTATAGGCAGCAGTAATTTATTTCACAGCAACATTATTCCTTCACATATCAGTATAACCCCAATAGGTATCAGTGTAAATAATTTATATAAGTGGCAGTAATTTCTTTACACAGCAGCGTCCTATAAGTAGTGGTGTATTGTCTGTAAATATCAGTGTAATTAATTCCTATAAGTGGTGGTGTATTGTCTGTAAATAACAGTGTTATTAATTCCTATAAGTGGTGGTGTATTGTCTGTAAATATCAGTGTAATTAATTCCTATAAGTGGTGGTATATTGTCTGTAAATATCAGTGTAATTAATTCCTATAAGTGGTGGTGTATTGTCTGTAAATATCAGTGTAATTAATTTCTATACGTGGTGGTGTATTGTCTGTAAATATCAGTGTAATTAATTCCTATAAGTGGTGGTGTATTGTCTGTAAATATCAGTGTAATTAATTTCTATAGGTGGTTGTGTATTGTCTGTAAATATCAGTGTAATTAATTCCTATAAGTGGTGGTGTATTGTCTGTAAATAACAGTGTTATTAATTCCTATAACTGGTGGTGTATTGTCTGTAAATATCAGTGTAATTAATTCCTATAAGTGGTGGTATATTGTCTGTAAATATCAGTGTAATTAATTCCTATAAGTGGTGGTGTATTGTCTGTAAATATCAGTGTAATTAATTTCTATACGTGGTGGTGTATTGTCTGTAAATATCAGTGTAATTAATTTCTATACGTGGTGGTGTATTGTCTGTAAATATCAGTGTAATTAATTCCTATAAGTGGTGGTGTATTGTCTGTAAATATCAGTGTAATTAATTTCTATAGGTGGTTGTGTATTGTCTGTAAATATCAGTGTAATTAATTCCTATAAGTGGTGGTATATTATCTGTAAATAACAGTGTAATTAATTCCTATAATTGGTGGTGTATTGTCTGTAAATAACAGTGTAATTAATTCCTATTAGTGGTGGTGTATTTTCTGTAAACAACAGTGTTATTAATTCCTATAACTGGTGGTGTATTTTCTGTAAATAACAGTGTAATTAATTCCTATTAGTGGTGGTGTATTTTCTGTAAATAACAGTGTAATTAGTTCCTATAGCTGGTGGTGTATTGTCTGTAAATAACAGTGTAAATAATTCCTATAACTGGTGGTGTATTTTCTGTAAATAACAGTGTAATTAATTCCTATTAGTGGTGGTGTATTGTCTGTAAATAACAGTGTAATTAATTCATATAAGTGGTGATGTATTTTCTGTAAATAACAGTGTAATTAATTCATATAAGTGGTGGTGTATTGTCTGTAAATAACAGTGTAATTAATTCCTATAAGTGGTGGTGTATTGTCTGTAAATAACAGTGTAATTAATTCCTATAAGTGGTGGTGTATTGTCTGTAAATAACAGTTTAATTAATTCCTATAAGTGGTGGTGTATTATCTGTAAATATCAGTGTAATTAATTCCTATTAGTGGTGGTGTATTGTCTGTAAATAACAGTGTAATTAATTCCTATTAGTGGTGGTGTATTTTCTGTAAACAACAGTGTTATTAATTCCTATAACTGGTGGTGTATTTTCTGTAAATAACAGTGTAATTAATTCCTATTAGTGGTGGAGTATTTTCTGTAAATAACAGTGTAATTAGTTCCTATAGCTGGTGGTGTATTGTCTGTAAATAATAGTGTAATTAATTCCTATAACTGGTGGTGTATTTTCTGTAAATAACAGTGTAATTAATTCCTATTAGTGGTGGTGTATTGTCTGTAAATAACAGTGTAATTAATTCATATAAGTGGTGATGTATTTTCTGTAAATAACAGTGTAATTAATTCATATAAGTGGTGGTGTATTGTCTGTAAATAACAGTGTAATTAATTCCTATAAGTGGTGGTGCATTGTCTGTAAATAACAGTGTAATTAATTCCTATAAGTGGTGGTGTATTGTCTGTAAATAACAGTTTAATTAATTCCTATAAGTGGTGGTGTATTATCTGTAAATATCAGTGTAATTAATTCCTATTAGTGGTGGTGTATTGTCTGTAAATAACAGTGTAATTAATTCCTATTAGTGGTGGTGTATTGTCTGTAAATAACAGTGTAATTAATTCCTATTAGTGGTGGTGCATTGTCTGTAAATAACAGTGTAATTAATTCCTATAAGTGGTGGTGTATTGTCTGTAAATAACAGTTTAATTAATTCCTATAAGTGGTGGTGTATTATCTGTAAATATCAGTGTAATTAATTCCTATTAGTGGTGGTGTATTGTCTGTAAATAACAGTGTAATTAATTCCTATTAGTGGTGGTGTATTGTCTGTAATTAACAGTGTAATTAATTCCTATTAGTGGTGGTGCATTGTCTGTAAATAACAGTGTAATTAATTCCTATAAGTGGTGGTGAATTGTCTGTAAATAACAGTTTAATTAATTCCTATAAGTGGTGGTGTATTTTCTGTAAATAACAGTGCAATTAATTCCTATAAGTGGTGGTGTATTGTCTGTAAATAACAGTGTAATTAATTCCTATAAGTGGTGGTGTATTGTCTGTAAATATCAGTGTAATTAATTCCTATAAGTGGTGGTGTATTGTCTGTAAATAACAGTGTAATTAATTCCTATAAGTGGTGGTGTATTGTCTGTAAATAACAGTGTAAATAATTCCTATTAGTGGTGGTGTATTGTCTGTAAATAACAGTGTAATTAATTCCTATAAGTGGTGGTGTATTGTCTGTAAATAACAGTGTAATTAATTCCTATAAGTGGTGGTGTATTGTCTGTAAATAACAGTGTAATTAATTCCTATAAGTGGTGGTGTATTGTCTGTAAATAACAGTGTAATTAATTCCTATAAGTGGTGGTGTATTGTCTGTAAATAACAGTGTAAATAATTCCTATTAGTGGTGGTGTATTGTCTGTAAATAACAGTGTAATTAATTCCTATAAGTGGTGGTGTATTGTCTGTAAATAACAGTGTAATTAATTCCTATAAGTGGTGGTGTATTGTCTGTAAATAACAGTGTAATTAGTTCCTATAAGTGGTGGTGTATTGTCTGTAAATAACAGTGTAATTAATTCCTATAAGTGGTGGTGTATTGTCTGTAAATAACAGTGTAATTAATTCCTATAAGTGGTGGTGTATTGTCTGTAAATAACAGTGTAATTAATTCCTATAAGTGGTGGTGTATTGTCTGTAAATAACAGTGTAATTAATTCCTATAAGTGGTGGTGTATTGTCTGTAAATAACAGTGTAATTAATTCCTATAAGTGGTGGTGTATTGTCTGTAAATAACAGTGTAATTAATTCCTATAAGTGGTGGTGTATTGTCTGTAAATAACAGTGTAATTAATTCCTATAAGTGGTGGTGTATTGTCTGTAAATAACAGTGTAATTAATTCCTATAAGTGGTGGTGTATTGTCTGTAAATAACAGTGTAATTAATTCCTATAAGTGGTGGTGTATTGTCTGTAAATAACAGTGTAATTAATTCCTATAAGTGGTGGTGTATTGTCTGTAAATAACAGTGTAATTAATTCCTATAAGTGGTGGTGTATTGTCTGTAAATAACAGTGTAATTAATTCCTATAAGTGGTGGTGTATTGTCTGTAAATAACAGTGTAATTAATTCCTATAAGTGGTGGTGTATTGTCTGTAAATAACAGTGTAATTAATTCCTATAAGTGGTGGTGTATTGTCTGTAAATAACAGTGTAATTAATTCCTATAAGTGGTGGTGTATTGTCTGTAAATAACAGTTTAATTAATTCCTATAAGTGGTGGTGTATTGTCTGTAAATAACAGTGTAATTAATTCCTATAAGTGGTGGTGTATTGTCTGTAAATAACAGTGTAATTAATTCCTATAGGTAGCAGTGTAAACACTTTTATGTATCAGTGTAATTAATGTCTAAATGTAGAAGTTTAGTCACTTTATGTATCAGTGTAATTAATGTCTAAATGTAGAAGTTTAGTCACTTTATGTATCAGTGTAATTAATGTCTAAATGTAGAAGTTTAGTCACTTTATGTATCAGTGTAATTAATGTCTAAATGTAGAAGTTTAGTCACTTTATGTATCACTTTTATAATATTTCCTATAGGTAGCAATGTAATTCTTGTAACGAACAGTTTAATTTCTATAGACAGCCATTTAATTCCTATAAGCATCAGTGCAATTAATTCCTACAGTTACCTGCTTGATTTGTTGTCTACCTATGAAGTAAAGTTTTGGTTCTGTGCAGACTCTCCTACTGATATCATCGTTCCTAAGTCGATCATTCCTCGTTTCACCTAGCATATTATGTACAAATTTCATTTCTGTCGTTACTATTTTACTTCTGTATTTGACATTGATAGCATAATGTTGATAAGAATATTGTGCTGAACAGTGTTTTTATAGTCTTCAAATTCACATAATTGCATTAAAAAAACTGGTGCTCTTCATTTTCTGCGAGCACTAGTGTAATTCCTATGGAATGCAATGTAATGCCTATAGATAGCAGTGTAATTCCTTTAAGTATCAGTGTAATTCTTATAAGTTGCTGTGTAATCCCTATAGATGTAAGTGTAATTCCTATAGATCTGAGTAATTTCTTTACAATGCAGTGTTATTTCTTAAGACACCAATTTGACTGTAGTAAGTATTAGTGTCATTTCTTTACAAAGCAGTGTAATTATGTTAGTCAGCAGGGGAACACCTTTAAGTAGAAATCAAAAGAAATATAGTAAAGAGAAGAGCATGAAAAAAGTTGGAGCAATGGCATCAAAAGCAGCTGTGAGAAATGAAGAATTACTTAAACAACATAACAAAGTGCACACAACAGACGATACTTACATCTCCCCCAACTCTTCGATGAGACAACTCGAGGAAGAGAAGAAGAAAGAGAAGACAGTCTCATTAGATTCACACTACAAAGTTTGAATCAACAAATAATGAAGCAAACATGGAGAGCCAGGCAGTAGATTGTGCAACCTAATGCTTGTACTCTCATTTAACTTCACAACATGACTTATTGTCTGCAATTATTTCAGTGTGCTCCGGTTTGTTTGAGATCTGTGGCATCGTAACCTGCTTAGATGTCAAGCTAGTGATTGGCTTGTGGAAGGCCATCATCAAGTAAGTGTGGGCTTGCTTGACTCTTTCAGTAATCAACTCGCCAAACCATTCTTGATCATTCCAAACATATTATGATGTCTTTGTTGTCTTCTATTTGTTAGTTAGTTAGTTAGTCTTTCCTCTTGAGCCGAAGGCGGTGCATGAAGCAGAGATCATATCTCTCCATGCCTGGCTGTTCGTTGCCACCTTTTTTAGGTCTTGGATATTCATTAGGCCCATAGTTGAGCCTTCCCTGATGATGGTTCTACACAGAGTCTTTTTTTGTTGTCTTCTACTGCAATGTTTTATTCATCACCTTTAGCCTGTTGTGCCATTATAAGTTACATAGGGTTTGCAGTTATACGTTACATAGGGTTCGCAGTTATAAGTTACATAGGGTTCGCAGTTATAAGTTACATAGGGTTCGTAGTTATAAGTTACATAGGGTTCGCAGTTATAAGTTACATAGGGTTCGCAGTTATGTTACATAGGGTTCGCAGTTATAAGTTACATAGGGTTCGCAGTTATAAGTTACATAGGGTTCGCAGTTATAAGTTACATAGGGTTCACAGTTATAAGTTACATAGGGTTCGCAGTTATAAGTTACATAGGGTTCGCAGTCTATTCCTCCAATCTCTTCTCTCCTGGGCAATCAGTGCAGTGTTATGGATGGAATCCAGTCCAGCAGCTTTGGTCTCTTTCCTCAGTGTTCTTTTAAGGGTTTATTCTGAGTATCACTGCCTCCTCAGTCCCTTTATTTCCCATCTTAGTGCCTGTTTGGTGATTCTCTGCTCCTTTTTTCTCAGGATGTGTCCAGTATAGCGCCATCTTCTCTGTCTTATAACTTGATAATTGTTGTTGCCCAGAAATTTCTCTAATTTCTTTATCCCTCTTGAATTCATTCTTTAAATATTATACTAAATCTTTATATCTGTATTATTAGTTTGACTACTTCTTTTCTTGTGTGTCTCTGTTGAACTTTCTCAGACATACGTGATAATTGCTTTTAATCTCAAATCCATGCGATAAACGGGGTTAAAATCACAGCTGCTTGATACTGCAAGTGTTACTGTATTCCATCAGATAAGTGTAGGTTTGCCTCATTTATTTCAATATTTAGTGTGTGTGTGCTTAATTTATTACATTGAATAAGTGCATGTTTGCCTAATTTATTCCATTCAGTATGTGTAGGTTTGCTTAATTTATTCCATCCAATAAGTATAGGTTTGCTTAATTTATTCCATCCAAAGTGTGTAGGTTTTTTAATTTATTACGTCCAATAAGTGTATGTTTGCCAATTTTTTTCCATCCACTCAGTGTATGTTTGCCTAATTTATTCCATCCAAAAAGTGTAGGTTTGTCTAATTTATTCCATCCAATAAGTGTAGGTTTGTCTAATTTATTCCATCCAGTAAGAGTAGGTCTGCATAATTTATTCCATCCAATAAAAGTAGGCGTGTTTAATTTATTTCATCCAATAAGTGTAGGTTTGTTCAATTTATTCCATCCAATAAGTGTAGGCTTGTTTAATTTATTCCATCCAATAAGTGTAGGTTTATTTAATTTATTTCATCCAATAAGTGTAGGTTTGTTCAATTTATTCCATCCAATAAGTGTAGGTTTGTCTAATTTATTCCATCCAGTAAGAGTAGGTCTGCATAATTTATTCCATCCAATTAAAGTAGGTTTGTTTAATTTATTCCATCCAATAAGTGTAGGTTTGCCTATTTGATTTTATCCCATAAGTGTAGGTTTGCCTATTTGATTTCATCTAATAAGTGTAGGTTTGCCTAATTTATCCAATCGGGTAAGTTTAGGTTTGTTTAATTAATTTAATTAATGAAGTGTCTATTTTGCTAATTCATTATGTCAGGTAATGTAAGGTTTGTTTAATTGATAAATAAAAACATCTAAAGCAGTTAGAAGAAGTAAATGAAGATTTAACCTCCTTTTACCTTACTGACAAGAGTCAAGTGACCTAGGGTGAGGCTGAAAAGGGAGGAGGAGATGTCATTGTTTGGGAGGAGAATTCCTTTTCAATAAAACTTTAGGAATCTATAATTCTAAAGTAATTTCTCTTTCTTGTTTTTCTGTCTCATTTCACTGGTTGAATTAAATAAGGGTAGCTTGAGGGTGTCGTGACTCATTTTGACTCATACAAGTTCTAGCTTGCAGGTCGTATTCCAAGCAAAGGTTGTATTCCAAGCAAAGGCCGTATTCCAAGGACAATTGTTTGGGTTTGAATAGCATGCATATTAAGCTGGGACTTATTAGACAGCAGACATATAATGAGATTAAAACAAACACACACAAAACTATTTGTCTTTACGGAAAGAATTTTTTGGCTATTGTCATTTTTCTAGGCAAATTTACGTTCAGTAGTTTGCCATTGCTTTCTGGGCGGTCAACTCTTGATGCCACTGTCAGACCCAATGCAAGGCAGTCTGCTGCCAAATCATCTGCAGTTGGAATTGAACCTGACACCCCTGGCATTATGAAGTGCGTTCGAAATGCCTAAGCCACAGATGCCAGCATACTGAGGTAGTCACTGTCAATTTGGCAGCCTTTACTTCCCATATTTTCTAGAACCATCTTAGGCTGGCCTGACTTGAAAGCCCAAGTTTAGACAGACTGGTAATAATATTGAATGTTTCAGATTATGCAGTCAGCACATACGTTTGCTGCGGGACCGATTTGATGCCTGCCCTCTCATCAACTCTTTGTGTGAGGAAATCAGACAAGGCTACCAGTACTTATTTGAACTCTCTCTTGGGGCAGATGCACTTTCCTTAGTAAGTTTTCCTTTTTTTCCTGTGTTTGCTCTTAAAGGAGCAGTTAGCATACTATTTTGTGGTTTACAGCTAGGCTGTGATACCTGCACCTTTGGCTGGACACACCTAGTTTTAGGAAATCCCTAATTAATCACTTACTACAAGCTTGTTGGGGGGGGGGGGGGGTAGTTGATCTGTTCTCTGAATTTCTTAGTATACCATCTGTGTTTTGATTATCCCTGAATTCCTTAGTGTAATATCCATCTGATGTTTATAACTTTAATATAGTTTATAGTGTAATGTTTACCTTATTTTTATTACTAAATGTAGTGTAATGTGTGACTTGTTTAATCCCAGATTGTAGTGTATTGTGTAATTTGTTTAATCACTCAATGTAATTTAATGTGTTCTTTGTTTAATCACTGAATGTAGTCTGATGAAGATAGCCTTGTTTTAACACTGAATTCTATTTTGAATGTTAGTCACAGGGAGATGACAAGACTTTCAGCAAATCCTGCAAGATCCTGGCATTTCAGATGAAGGTACTGGTGGCCTTGCTAAGAGATTTTACAGATTACCTTGGAAACTGTGAGAAGAATGTTCTAGACTTACTGCTGGTTTTACACAGGTTAGTTGATACCTGTCCATCTTTGTAGATTATTGTGCGATAAGAAAGCCAGCAGTCACTGCACATGACAATTGCAGGAATGCCAAAAGAAAGTACCCTTATAATTTTCTCAGGAAAAAAAGGGGGGGGGGAAGAGGGGGGGGGGGGGCGCTCAGGAGGCTTACGCTTTGTTTAAGTGTGCAATAATTATACAAATTTTCACTATTTTCTGCATGAGGCAAATAAATATATTTCAGGTGAAATGTAAAAGCAGGTACTGGAAAAGAGAATGTTTGTACATGGTTGGGGGTCACTCAGCTTCCTTGCTCATTTTCTAATAGGGCCCAGGTCTCTCAGATACTTATTGGGAGCTCAGCTCTGCCTCCTTTGGGTGTGGGGATGGAGGGTGGGGAGAGATGCCTGTACCCCAGGTTCTGACACCTCTGGATGATGTGAAGTGTGAAAAGCAAGACCAGCTGACATTAAGAGATGTCTTCCACAATAATGGCATTTGGGTTCTTTTATTTATGCTCACATAGAACTGGGTCAGCTGGTTGAGATTCCAGCAGTCTGACTCCTCAGCCAGACACTCTTTAACCGATAAATAAAAGAAATTGTGAAAATCATAAGACATTGAAATATTTAGCATCAACATTTTGAATAAAATTAACATCAGATTAAATGCTCTAGCTTGTAATACCAATATCACAGCATGTAAAACACTGATAGAATCATTTGTCCTATTTGGCTGTAAAATCTGGAGTACAAAAGAGATGAAGCATAATTACAAACTCTAGAGAAATCATCAAGATACAAACGTCTGAGAATGGAGAGTGAAAAGCAATGCAACATTGAAAAATCGGTTGAAATCGTCACTAATTAATTTCATCCTAAGCGCTAACAGACTGTTTTAGTTGGGGTAAATAGAGAGAATGCCTGATAACAGAGACACAACTGCATACACAAAAGAGTTGAACGGCAGTAAACCGCAAGACAGGCCAAGAAGATGGTGAAGAGATAATGTTCTGGCAGACAAAAAAAATCACTTGGAGAAACTAACTGGAAAGAGAAGGGCAATCACAGAGGTGAATGGAGATCAGTGTTACTTGCAGCAGTAAACCCTAAAAACTGGGAATGCTGAAGAAGAAAGAAGATGAACATTAAATGAGTAGTGTATGGGTGCAGAAACACAGAGAACAACTAAAACTAGACTGTTTATTTTATCCATATGGAAGAATTGTGTATCATTTTTAAACTAATTATCCTGTCAATAGGTACTTGCCTCCAAGTCTGTGTGCTAAAGCATTACCTCCAAAACTAGAGAGTGAAGTTCGAGTGCAGGTTGTCAGCGCTACAGCTCCCATCTTAGGGCACCTGGTCCAAAACAGGGTGTTCAGAGCTGCTCTTACATCTTTTGCTGAAGGTAAATGGAGGATTTCTTCTTTGCATTCTCTCATTGCAGCCTGAAGAGAACACCGATGTAGGGTACAGTTTCCAGAAAATGAGGCAGAGACAGACCGCCGCGAAGGTGGATACAGGACATTGAAGATGCGTTGGCTAAGAAAGCACATAGGGCTGAAGAATTGGCTAGAGAAAGAAAGACTTTCAATCTTACCATGATGAAAGGGACAATGTCAATGATCTGCTGATTGAGGATGATGATGATTGCATGAGTGGCTGTGAATAGAAAGTGGACAGATGTGTCTAACAGGGAACTGGCAATGCTGATAGATGAGGTTTTGAGTGTTGGTTGTCACCCAGAAGCTTCTCAGGAGTTTTGCTTTCTCTGTGTGATAGTTGGATAACTAGACGGTGGAGACGGCTTCTCTCACAGAGGATGAATACACACATACAATGACGAGAAGGCAAACTCACAGTTTCATTTCTGTATTATTGTTCTAAACATAGTATCGTCTAGTCGCTGTCTTCTGATCTCTTACCTGGTCTGAGAGTCAATAATCAAATGTTATAATACACGCATACGATGTTCACAGTTGTCAGCAATCGTTACCTTGCATTCTTGGTGGATCATTCATGCAACGCACAGGTGACGAGTTTGCATCTCCGACACTCTGCTACCAATCTTCAAAGTTCGGCTGGGTGTCACCTGAATAACTTCTGGTCAGGCATTCATCTTAAGGCATCAGGAACAATCACCAACTGATTTGATCCCTCTTTCACTTTCAGAAACTCTCTCCTTTCCATGGACTGTCACCCTTCTACACTTCAGTTCAATACGTGATTTTGCAGGCAGTTTCCTTCTCGATTCAATTCACTTTTCTTACCCTTGACCCTACGCTATCATCTGGAAACTCTAAGGAAAATCCCCTCATTACACAATCAGTACTGTACTAATGCACATACCATCATCGTCTGGAATATTCTTTCTGTCAGCAAGTTTAGAAAATGATTTGTACATGTATTAATCTCACTTGACATAATTCTTCCCCTTCTACCCCTTTCTATTCTCTTTCCGCCCGCCTCTCCCTTTATCTTGCTGTCTCTCTTCTAATGCTTGATCTCAGTCACTTGACTGTAAATTTCTTATAAATGATCCATTTCACTTTCTCACCCTCGCAGTCTCTTTGAATTCTAATTTTCTTCCTGTATCTCTTTTGCTATCTCTTTTTGTATCATCACTTTTTGAAATTCTGCTTGTTGGCTGTTTTCTTCCCCCTCGCTGTATATTTGTTGGTGGCTTTTATCTGTTTTACTTTTTCATTCGCGATCTCTCTTTTTGTTATTCTTTGTTGATCCTTTTCTAAATTCCATATGTTGATACACACCAAGAATGGAACAACACATACATACCAAAAATCAGAGGTCCCAGGTAGTTAGCGTCCTTAGGATGTTTTCTGCAGGCATGCAAGTGTGTTGGGAAACAAACAGAGAGATAGACTGGCTGGTTCTGTACCAATTGCTACCGATTTGGTGCATAATAAGTTAGATGTTGTAAGGGTCCTTTGGGAGTAAGTGAACTGTGAGGAGGCATTGAGAGGGAGTGAACTGTGAGGAGGCATTGAGAGGGAGTGAACTGTGAGGAGGCATTGAGAGGGAGTGAACTGTGAGGAGGCATTGAGAGGGAGTGAACTGTGAGGAGGCATTGAATTGAGTGAACTGTGAGGAGGCATTGAGAGGGAGTGAACTGTGAGGAGGCATTGAGAGGGAGTGAACTGTGAGGAGGCATTGAAGTGAGTGAACTGTGAGGAGGCATTGAAAGTGAGTGAACTGTGAGGAGGCATTGGGAGTGAGTGAAAAGTGCAGAGGCACACATAGATCTTCACAGTCTGAGTAGAATAGGGCTGTCAGGAATGACAAGAGGATCTCAACTTTCAAGGGAAAAGGTGCCACTGATAAACAGTCAGACTGTTATGGTGCTATTGGAATTGGAACTCTGCGCTTGCTGCTGAAGATAGGGAAGGAGTGCTTATGAGAATGTCCCGATTGTTGTAATGTCAATTCCTAATTCAGCATACTGTAATGTCGATTCCTAATTCAGGATACTGTAATGTCGATTCCTAATTCAGCATACTTTAATGTCTATTCCTAATTCAGCATACTGTAATGTCGATTCCTAATTCAGCATACTGTAATGTCGATTCCTAATTCAGCATACTTTAATGTCGATTCCTAATTCAGCATACTGTAATTTCAATTACTAATTCAGCATACTTTAATGTTGATTCCTAATTCAGCATACTGTAATGTCTATTCCTAATTCAGCATACTGTAATGTCGATTCCTAATTCAGCATACTGTAATGTCGATTCCTAATTCAGCATACTGTAATGTCGATTCCTAATTCAGCATACTGTAATGTCAGTTCCTAATTCAGCATACTGTAATGTCAATTCCTAATTCAGCATATTGTAATGTCAGTTCCTAATTCAGCATACTGTAATGTCGATTCCTAATTCAGCATACTGTAATGTCGATTCCTAATTCAGCATACTGTAATGTCGATTCCTAATTTAGCATACTGTAATGTCGATTCCTAATTTAGCATAACAGCAAGATACAGAAATAGAGATTTCATGTTTCTGTGTGTCTGTCACAGAGAGAATACCTGAAGACAGACTGCCCCGGTTGTTGGTGCAGCTCATGTTACTGGACATGCTACCCAGATGTGAAGGTCAGTGCTGCAGTCACAAAATAGAAGATTTCATTGTAAACTAGCTAGAATTATTCTCAGATATCGTATTCATCCAGAAATGTATGAGCTACATAATATTTATACAGGACTCTCCCTGTGGGTACCAGGACCCCATTCTGTGGGAAAAAAACAAGAAGATGAAGCTCCACAGGGGAGCATGTACAGCAGGAGCCTACCAATCATCAGTAGAAGTGATCCCTCATCTACAAATGTTTCGGCATACAAGCTCCTAGACAATTTCAGAGGGTGGGCCCACCTGAGTTCGTGAAGCTTAGGCTTGATCTGCTCCAGCTGAACGTATTACTCGATGTTCTCAGACAGGGACAAGACAAAAATGGTGACTGCAAGAGGTACTGTGAGATTCGAAGTTTATTTACATAGTAGCTGCGGTAGCCTATTAGATCTGTCAGCATACCTTGACTGCCAAGTGGCAAGCTTATGGTTGGTTTATCGGACACATGTTAGACTTTGTTGGCAATTGGCAGAGGGACACCTGCTTACAGTTCAGACACGATGGACTTAAGGGATAAGACTTTCTTTTCCACTAGATACCCGAACCAGCCTACCGAGGCCCATCCTCCACAATGTTCCATTGTGTCCAGAGCAAGCTCGAAGCCCTTTCAGCAGCCTCGCCCAGATGTTTTAGTGATTGTTTGCGCTAGTTTCCTCGCAAGCCCAACTGCTTTAGCACATTGTACATGGCAGTGAAGATGAGACATCTTGCACCTACCTCTAACTGTGTACGCTTCGTCTCTGCTCAGACCAGCTGCAAGGTCACTGTATTTCTCGAGCTTAGACATGACTCTTGTCCATTCGCGACTCATAAGGCACGGTCAACTCAATCGGGATGAGTCTTCCGGATTAACTGTGGGTACTTTTCGTGACCAGGCAGGTCAACCGCCAGTAGCCAGTCCCTCGCGCAGTCAAGCATCGATGGAGCGTATGCGACCTTGTTGAATTTACCTTTATAAAATCTGCCCAGCCTTGAAGAAGCACACGGGGACGACGGTAGGACTGGCTCTCGCATTGGCCCTCATCCTAGCTTGGTCCACAACGATCGCTAACTCTTTCAGGACCTTGTTGTGGCGCCAAGTATATCTTTCCTGACCTAGGGCTTTTCTGCATGCGAACAATACGTGCTCGAGCGTCTGTATAGCTCTGCATAGTGGGCATACCGGATGGGTAGCCACACTCCACTTTACCATGTTGACACCGGACTGTAACACATCGTATGCAGATGATACGATAAAGCTCAGCTGCAGCTGGGCCACTTGCCAGATCTCACCCCATGTGAGTATTCGTGGCAAGGTGCTCTCAAGGCCGATCCACTGGCCTTGTTGCTACTGTTGGACGGCTTTTTTGGACCCCATTCTAGTTTTCTGTGTCCCTTATCTGCTATATTACCAGGTTTTGGCGCTCTTTGGCTTTGGACCACCAACTGACTTTCCCGTGCCCTAGGCCTCGACGGTCGGTTTGTGTATAACCCATCACTTCTTTCAATTTCAGTGCATCTTGGGCTGATTTAATCGCATCTAGGACCTTCCATTTCTGACCTGTCTTTAGAGCGGGCTGGACAGCAGTGACTGTGGGGTCTGAAGACTCGCGCAGCATCATCGCGAGTCTTTTTTTGTCAACTTCAAACTCTTCGGTTATTGATATGAGCGGGAGTACCAGCTTAGTCTGCTTACAATACAGAGTCACATCAGTCAGCCATTTCCTCATGGCTGTATTGATTTTACACTCCATTTTTATGTTTATGATATAAACAATTTACATTATAGAATAATGCATACACACATCATGTATACAATATCATACACACTCAAACACACACACACACACACATGTACACATACTTTTACATTCTCATACGTACACATACACAATCAGGACTGAGCCACACACAGTGGTGCACCAAGACCAGGGCTGCTACTGGTCATCACCTGCCTATACTTCTACGGTCATCCTACACACAGGTTCCTAGCTGGGGGCCTGACCAGCACAAATAGCTGTGACATTTCCTTCTAAAGTGTACTGCATCTGCCTGACAGTCGGTAGATCATCCTCAGTGTACATGGAACCATTCAGTCCAGTGCTCAGATCCCCTACCCAGCCTGTGGCGGCTGAGGGTACTAGTTCTGTGTTGGTTTCTTCATTGGCTTCCTGCTCTTGCACTATGTTGTTCTTGCAGTCTGGTCATTGTTGCAGATATCCTTGAAACCTGCTTGTTGATTGATGTGTGGTACTTTTGAAGACAGTGTTTAGAGCAGTGTGCAGCAAGAAGTCAACAGGCAATCTAGGTACTTTATTCTTTTTTTTTTTTTTTTAGGAGGAGAGGAATTAGTAGTCTGCACACAAATCAGCTAGATCTGTAATACAGATGTGCATGCAGAAACCAAGTCCAGAAGAAGACCAAAGTTCACAAGGGGATAAATGCCATGGACTTTCTGCTAGAGTTTATAGCCAGTGAACTCAAAGAAGAAGTAGGGACAGCAAATAATATTGCAATGAGCTGGGAAATGTTAGCATTAAATTAATCTAATTTATAAGCCATAATCAGCTGTTGCTGTTAAACTACAAATATTTTTGGAACAGGAAGAGCTCCTGTCAAAAGGTTTGGGTAGTTACCAGCCACAAAAAGATGCCTGGTCAAATGCAGCTACTTTTGCTTTTGATGTTTATGAGGGCTTCCAGAACAATCAGGTGGCAGTTGTGGCAACATTTGATCTTGAGGATGCCTACAATAGAGTCAGATATGATATTTTGCTATCTGCATTTATGGAGAGGGGGGTTGGTCCCTGGCTGGTGAACTGGAAAGCAGCTGTCCTGCATTCACATGTGGCTGCCCTTCAACTGGGTAAATGGACCTCAGAACCATGTAATATCATCCCGGGACTGCAACAGTGCTCTTGAATGATTATACAAGCAAAATGGCAGAACGTGAAGCACAAGGTGTTGGAGGGATATTTACATTTGCTGATTATTATCTTGCAGGCAGGGGAGTAATGGGCAACGGAAAGCCCAAGAGTTACCGGCAACTGTAAACAAAGTGACTGGCTGGTGTGCAGAAATGGGTGCTGTTATAAACTCAGAAAAGGCTGCTGTTTTGTGGTGCTCTCTGGACAATAAAATTGTAAAAGCTAACAGTCCAACCCTTACAGTTCATAACAGAAACATCAAAAGAGGAAGCAAACTGATGTACCTGGCTATCATTTTCGAAAGAAGCATGTCCTTCAGGGATCATGTCGAGGCAGTTGCGGTAAAATGCCAAAAAGGACTCAGTGCTCTCAAGATTACGACAGCAATGGACATGGAACAAAGAATGTTGTTCATAATGTTCCAGCATGTGATCCTGTCAGTGACAGATTATGTACTTGGAATGCTTACCATATCAAAGAGTTAGCTGATAAAACTTGAACGCATACAGAATGAAGCCATGCGGGTAATTCTGGGATGTTCAAGAGAGACCCCGGTACTATGAATGCGTTATATGCTTGCACTGCCTACTATTGCAGATAGGCTTAATGTTCTGCAAGCAAAGTCATATCTCAGAGTAACTGCAGGCAAGCCCTGGGTAGAGCTAAGGATCACAGACTGAAAAGAGAAAGGTTTTGGACTGCGCAAGTTGAAAGACACAATCAGACTTGTGGGCAGGCTTGATAAATTTGTGCAAGGTGGGAAGTTGGTCAAAGTGTCTGAGCAAGTTTCAGACTTGTGTAGGGTTCTTATCACTTTAGGTCGTGAGTGCAGGGACTGGCCAGCTGGTGCTGCAGAATCAGAAGTTCAACAAATGATTCATAATAATTCCTGCCTAAGTGATGTGATTATCTATACAGATGGCTCTGTGTTGAGGGGCAGATGAAGTGCATGGGGGTTCATAGCAAAAGCGAATGGACGTGGCTTAGTGCAACAAAGCCTGGCATATGATATCCAAGGTCTAGTTTGAGAATGGAGGTGGAGGCATCCACTGCTGTATTTCGCTGGCTTGAGAATCAGCTGTACACACATGCCTTGATTGTAACTGACTCACAGAGCATGTTGAGAAAGGTGGAGACAGGTATGCTCAGTGCAGAGTGGCAAACATCACTTCAGAGGTCCCGGGCAGTTAACATCTTTTGGATATTCCCTCCAGGTGTGTTGGGAAATGAGCAGGCAGATAGACTGACCGGTTCTGGTGAACTGATGTATGATAAGCTAAATGTTGTGAGGGCCCTCTGGGAGCGAGTGAACAGTGCGGAAGTGCAGATAGATCATTACAGTCTAGGACAGATATAAAACCGAACAAAAAGTATATTACCAAGCCTCACAATATAACAAATACAAACAAAACACGAGCATTGCGGCTATGGAGCCTTCATCAGCACATACAAATCAAACAATACTACACAGATACACAAAATAACTTAGCTGGTATCTCGAAGCAGCCAGGTCGGTGGTTTCTCCGCAGACTGCCTACACGTCTGACTGACTTTCTTCCCCACCAGGATATCGCACAAGTGATAAACACTTGATGACACAAAGCGCCACTATGTTGATGAGGATCACTGTGGAGAGGTCCCAGAAACCGTGTTCAGCCAATTGGCTATATTTATGGCCTGGCTATATTGCGCCCCTGGCAAGAATCAGGGCGGGGCTTCAGATAAGAAAAATTTCATCCTAAAAAGGACGGCAAATAATATGCCTACACAGGTCGGCTGGGGGAATAAATACCCCCTGTGGAGTACCAGGGGCCATAACTAGGGGGTTAGAGATAAAACTGAGGGTAGTTCAATCTCCTAGTGCTTGAAATGGTCTGAGGAGAATGGTGCTGCAGGGAGTTACCAGGTGATCTGGCTGACACTCAACACTCAGGGGGAAGGTGAGACGAATATACAGTCAGACAGCTACTGGTGTCATGGGAATTGGAACTCGTTGTTTGCTGCTGAAGATGGGGACGGAACACTTTTGGGAGTGTCCTGAGTCTTGTGCTGTTGATTCCTAATTCAACATTCGACATTCAAATCAATTGCTATGTTTTAAATTCCTCTGTGATTTCAGCTGATGTGATTGAATTCTGGTTGTCACCTGTCAACCACATGAACCCTACACCAACCAGAGGACTTCTTTCTGCCATATTTGACTCAGTCCAAGAGTGTATGTATTTTTTATTTACAGTATCTTCTAAAATATTTAGTGGTAAATTGATGCAAGACAAACTAGATGTGATCAAGGCCCTTTGGGAGCAAGTGAACAGTGCAAAAGCGGGAACAGATCATGACAGTCTGGTGAGAGTGATGCAGCAAGAAGTGGACAAATGATCTGGCCGACACTGTACCCTAAGAGTAAATGCTGGACTGAGACAGTCTGGTGAGAGTGGTGCAGCAAGAAGTGGACAGATGATCTGGCCGACACTGTACCCTAAGGGGAAATGCTAGACTGAGACGGTCTGGTGAGAATGATGCAGCGAGAAGTGGACAAATGATCTGGCCGACACTGTACCCTAAGGGGAAATGCTAGACTGAGACAGTCTGGTGAGAATGATGCAGCGAAAAGTGGACAAATGATCTGGCCGACACTGTACCCTAAGAGGAAAAGCTAGACTGAGACAGTCTGGTGAGAATGATGCAGCAAGAAGTGGACAAATGATCTGGCCGACACTGTACCCTAAGGGGAAATGCTAGACTGAGACAGTCTGGTGAGAATGATGCAGCAAGAAGTGGACAAATGATCTGGCCGACACTGTACCCTAAGGGGAAATGCTAGACTGAGACAGTCTGGTGAGAACGATGCAGCAAGAAGTGGACAAATGATCTGGCCGACACTGTACCCTAAGGGGAAATGCTAGACTGAGACAGTCTGGTGAGAATGATGCAGCTAGAAGTGGACAGGTGATCTGGCCGACACTGTACCCTAAGAGGAAATGCTAGACTGAGATAGAAACGGACTGCTACGGGTACCATCACAATTGGAACGCTACGCTGGTCCGGATGTTAGTTTTTAACTCGGCTCAACTCGACTGAACCCTTTTATAATTCTGAAGTATTTTATTATATGATTTTTTACACTGTTCAAACCAGGTGAAGTAGAGATGCAAATTCCAGCTATGTTGCCAGGAGTCATGGTCGCTGGCAAACCTCAGAGGTATTATTTTGTATCCTTTGCAATGTTTTAGGTATATCTTGATCCACAAGGCTGGCATTAGAAATCCACATTTAAGGCATGCATTGTCTTCTTCTTCTCCTCATCCTCCTCCTCCTCTTCCTTCTCTTCTTCTCTTCTTCTTCCCTTCCTTCTCTTCTTTTTCTTCTTCTTAGCACAGACTGGCTGTAAACTCCAGTGGAAAGAATTTGTTGTTCATTCACTTCTGGACTTTGTTCTTGTTTCAGAACTTGAGTTTTGCATGCACATCCACTTTACAGATCTAGCTTATTTGTATGCAGACTGTTTGTTCCTCACCTCTCAGGCAGATGCAGTTTGACTTGAAAAAAAAAAGAAACCTAATTAGTCGAGTTTTGCTTGTTGGGTGGGCAGGGTCTCTTCTTTTACTTAAAATGGGGCCCAGGAACCCAGAAAGAAAGGCATATTACATTTTTACCAGCTCCTGATTCAGTACAACACTTACAGATTGAATTCTGGGTTCTCATGTAGAAGATCCATGTTTGAATGCTCAGATATGGATTTGTTTTTTTTGTCAGGGGAAAAAAACTAAAAACCTAACCTTTACAGACTTTGGCGATTGTACTAGCCACATAGCTCTAGATTCTCACTCTCACATATCTCCTGCCTACACATACAAATGTTCAATACAGGCAATATCAGGGAGCCACCTTTGCTGTAGCGGCTAGATACTTGCCTGTGGATTGGAAGGTCGATTGTTAAGGTCCTGACGGAGCGGGATTATTTTTTTTCAGAAAGGACATTGGTTTCTTGTTTGACCCAGTCTTGAGTGGGTACCAGATCTAGTCCTGGGAAGTAAAGGTGGCTGGCCTGATGCTGACATCATCCACCATGTGCTGATTAGTCTATAAAATAAAGGTCTAGCCCTATATGCCCAATACGCCTAAAGACGGGGAAAAAGGTCTTTACTTTTACAGGCAGTAATGGTAGTTTAGTGACAAAGATTGACTGAGTTTATACACTTTGGCACAAAATCACAGTCCATCTGCCCAAGAGGCAGGGAACCAGCAGTCTCCAGATCAGCAGTAAAACTGATGTGCATGCAATGCTCAGGTCCTGGAACAAGGCCACAGTCCAGAAATGAATGACCAACTAGGACTTTCTACCAGAGTTTACAGCTGGGGAAAAAGAAAAATAAGAAGAAGAAGAAGGAAATCACAGCCTGTAGTATGTGATGGTGAATGTTTTAAGCAAGACCAGCTCAAAGGAAAAAGTCATCCACAATATGTGCATTTGGTTTCAGGGCCATTGTTGCCATTGTGTGTTGAATTGCATGTTGCAATTCTCAGGTCTCAACTTATCTGTAGTAATTTGTCTCCTGTGTTGTTATTCCCCTTGTCCACTTCCCATCCGACAATTATCTGCTGCTGATCTTCATCTTCTGACCCCCCCCCCCCCCACAACTTTTTTGACCTTATTTCCACCGTGTCCTTATCCCCTCTGTTTCCTACTGTCAATACTTCCCACCTGTCCTTATCCCACTTCTGTCCCTATTTCCCCTGTCTTTATTCCCCTCCTGTCCTTATTCCCTTTCTGTCTGTACCTGTCTCTTGTTCTTATTCCCCTCCAGTCCTTATTCTCTCCAGTCCTTATTCTCTCCATACCTTTACTTCCTGCTGTCCTTGTACCCCTCATGTTCGTATTTCCCCACCTGTCTTTTTTCCCTTCTTCTCTTTATTTCACTCTTGTCCTTATTTCCCTCTAGTCCATATTTCCCTCTTGTCCTTATTTCCCTTTTGTCCTTATTTCCCTCTTGTCCTTATTTCCCTCTTGTCCTAATTTCCATCTTGTCCTTATTTCCATCTTGTCCTTATTTCCATATTGCCCTTATTTCCATCTTGTCCTCATTTCCGTCTTGTCCTCATTTCCGTCTTGTCCTTATTTCCGTCTTGTCCTCATTTCCATCTTGTCCTTATTTCAATTGTGTCCTTATTCCCATTGTGTCCTTACTATCCTCCAGTCCTTACTATCCTCCTGTCCTTACTTTTCTCCTGTCCTTATTCCAGTCACATCCTTCCCTTTCCTGTCTATTCCCATCCTGTCCTTATTCCCTTCTGGTTGTCATTCCATTCTTTTTTTAATTTTTAATTTCCATGCATTACAATCCATATGTTCTGTCTTGTTGTTGTTATTTATATTTAATCAACAGTAGACTCCACTGCAATCCCTAAGTGGAAGAAAGAAATATAAATATATATATATATATATATATATATAATGTGTTTTAGACAGGTGAGCCTGTATGAGTTCACTACTACACACCTGTGTGGATTCATTGGAGCATGTCCTGCAAAACATTTCTCTGTTTTGGTGAGTTTTCAGTTGATCATTTATGAGAGAAAATGTGGAGTGGCTTACTTGTTGTAACATGAGTGCTTGCTTAATTTTGTGTAAGTTTGGTTATAAGATCACACTGCTATCATAGCTCTCTGGTCTCACCCATAAATGCTCTCCTTCAGCAAAGGTAACTTGATATAAAGATGTATAAATAGACAGGCAGTTTGGAGAAAAGCTAGGTTAATCAGCCTAACTGGGTGGAGTACATGCAAGAGTATTGACATCAGTGCTGTTTGTTTAGAGAATAATGACATCAGTGCCGTTTGTTTAGAGAATATTGACATCAGTGCTGTTTGTTTAGAGAATAATGACATCAGTGCCGTTTGTTTAGAGAATATTGACATCAGTACAGTTTGTTTGGAGAATATTGAATTCAGTTCTGTTTGTTTAGAGATTATTGACATCAGTTCTGTTTGTTTAGAGAATATTGACATCAGTACAGTTTGTTTAGAGAATATTGACATCAGTACAGTTTGTTTAGAGAATATTGACATCAGTACAGTTTGTTTAGAGAATATTGACATCGGTACAGTTTGTTTAGAGAATATTGAATTCAGTGCTGTTTGTTTAGAGAATATTGACATCAGTACAGTTTGTTTAGAGAATATTGAATTCAGTGCTGTTTGTTTAGAGAATATTGACATCAGTGCAGTTTGTTTTGAAAGTACTAATAGTGAGTTGAGTTGAGACAAGAATTGACATACAGCACTCTGAGCATTCCCATGCATGCTCCGTCCTCATCTTCAGCAGCTAGCGCAGAGTTCCAGTACTGATGGTACCAGTCACAATCTCGTTAAATGTCCATCTTGCCTTTCCTCTGAGTGTAGTTGAGAGTACTGACAGTACAGTGAGTATGGAGAGTATAGACATCAGTGCAGTGGGAAGGAAGAGTTTTGACAGCAGTGCAGTTGGTATTCAGACTATTGACATCAGTGCAGTGGGTATGGAGAGTATAGACATCAGTGCAGTGGGTATGAAGAGTTTTGACAGCAGTGCAGTTGGTATTCAGACTATTCACATCAGTGCAGTGGGTATGGAGAGTATTGACATCAATACAGTGGGCATGGAGAGTAATGACATTAGTGCTGTGGGTATGGAGACTATTGACATCAGTGCAGTGGGTGTGGAGAGTATTGACATCAGTGCAGTGGGTATGGATAGTATTGACATCAGTGCAGTGGGTATGGAGAGTATTGACATCAGTGCAGTGGGTGTGGAGAATATTGACATCAGTGCAGTTGGTATGGAGTATTGACATCAGTGCAGTGGGTATGGAGAGTATAGACATCAGTGCAGTGGGTATGGAGAGTATAGACATCAGTGCAGTGGGAAGGAAGAGTTTTGACAGCAGTGCAGTTGGTATTCAGACTATTGACATCAGTGCAGTGGGTATGGAGAGTATAGACATCAGTGCAGTGGGTATGAAGAGTTTTGACAGCAGTGCAGTTGGTATTCAGACTATTGACATCAGTGCAGTGGGTATGGAGAGTATTGACATCAATACAGTGGGCATGGAGAGTAATGACATTAGTGCTGTGGGTATGGAGACTATTGACATCAGTGCAGTGGGTATGGAGAGTATTGACATCAGTGCAGTTGGTATGGAGTATTGACATCAGTGCAGTGGGTATGGAGAGTATTGACATCCGTGCAGTGGGTGTGGAGAATATTGACATCAGTGCAGTTGGTATGGAATATTGACATCAGTGCAGTGGGTATGGAGAGTATAGACATCAGTGCAGTGGGTATGGAGAGTATAGACATCAGTGCAGTGGGTATGGAGAGTAATGACAGCAGTGCAGTTGGTATTCAGACTATTGACAAAAAAAGTGCTTGGGGTTTCTTAGCAAAATTTAATGGTCGACGTTTAGTGCAGGAGAGCCGAGCATATGATACCACAACATCCAGCTTAAGAATGGAGGTGGAGGCGGTCACTGCAGCTTTCCGCTGCCTAGAGAACACGACACACACACATATCCTGATTGTAACTGACTCAGTCAGAAAGCATGCTGAGGTAGATCAGGACAGGCATGCTTCGTACAGAGTGGCATGCCTCGCTACGGAAGACACGGGTGAGGAGTATTGTCTAGATTTTTTCACCAGGGAACGCCGGTGTGTTGGGAAATGAACAGGCGGACAGACTAGCTGGCTCTGCACAGCTTGGTGGAATACTGATGCATGATAAGGCAGACATGGTTAGTGCCTTGTGGGAGAGCGTGTACAGTTCGGAGGAGCAGATGGGTCACCACAGTCTGGTGAGATTGATGCAGTGGGGAGTGACGAGAGGTTCTGGCAGATACTCGGGGCTCAGAGGAAAGGAAAGACGGATTTTAATCAGAATGTTACTGGCACCATTAATATCGGAACTCTTCGCCGACTGCTGAAGATGGGGACGGAGCGCATATGGGAATGCCCTGAGTGCTGTGATGTCGGTTTTTGAATCAAATCAAATCAACCCGTTGTGTTATTTTGGTTAATTCTCCCCAGGAACATACCCTTCTGGAGAATGTACTAAGGGACAATGATCTTTCGTATGTGATAGCACTGGACTGCTGGTGTTTTTTGGTTCGGTGAGAATGTTTTGTTTGTGATTTTTGATTTGTTTAGAAAAATCTTAAAAATATCACACGTCAAGAAGAAAACAAACTTAGAGATGTTCTAATCCAAAGATATTTCAAGATCAGATCACTCATAAAAATCGTAAGGAACAGATAGATGAAATTTATTGGATATATCTGCAGAAGAGGCGGAGAAGAGAATGTGGTCTTTGGGGGAAAATATTAGGCAAGAGGAGCAGAGAAATACATAAAGATGAATATGGAAAGCTAAACAGTTGAGCAACAGATAATAAATACAGCAATTTTTCAAAATATGAGATAAAAGATGTTTCTTCTGGTGTCAGTGGTGTGTGGTGTTGGTAGCCATGTCTATCCCCAACCCTCTGTACTTTCAATCACTTTTGACACAGAAGATCTTCCATGCCTTGATGTGAAACTGTCCAGCATTTTCTCTCTGGGTCTCCCTCTACCTCTTGTCTCCTCCAACTTTCCCACCGACATGATAAACTGTTCGTATCCCTTCCTGTCCTTATTTCACCCCTGTACAATTCCTTATCATGACATAACCAAAGAATGTAGATTGTCTAATTCTTATGTTGCCGGTCAGTTCTCTTCATGAGTCAGTGTCCTCATTACTCTTTTTATGTGTGTAGGGCGTTCTGATCATTGGTCTACAAAACTACCACTGCCAGATATCAGCCAACTGTCCATGATTCACTTGCTTGAATCAAGATAGGATTTATATAGCTCTTGAGAATTCTTGTTCACACCTCAGTTGATGAAGAAAAATTGCATAGAATATTCTTTCTTTTGATGAAATGCTGCCTTTGCTTGAGATATTCCATTGTTTTATCTACAGATATGGGACTGCCGTGACCTGCAGAGACCAGGTTCAGACTCTCATCCTAGCCTTCAAGCAGCTGAAGAAGATCAGCCACAAGTTGGCAGACAAGCTCAGCTTTCTGATTCACAGGCTGGTCAAGTTTATGTCTCCAGACCATCAGGTAATTATCTCTTTCGCCCTAGTGACCTAGAAAAATCATTGCCAGTGACTTGTTTTTCAGGGGGGGGGGGGGGGGGGGGGGGGGTGGGGTGGAAAAACAACCATTTTGCAGTTAAAAACTGGTTAGTTGCGTAACCTTTACAGGACCTTGCAGAACTAACCCCAACATCCCCTGGCTGTTGTGTGGTTTTTCTAGGCAAATATACGTCCAGTAGTTAGCTTTTGCTTTCTCGACGGTCAGCTTTCTTGATACCACTGTCGAAACCAACTCAAGGGGCATGGCCCACAGCTGGGATCGAACCCTGCATTACGAAGCGTTCACATCAACTTAGCCACAGAGCCGACAGTTAAAACTACAAAAGTAAAAAAAAATATGCACCAGTGAAATGCAGTAATCAGTAAAAAAAACGAAAGCGGCTAAGCCTAGACAAATGTTATATTGTGACCCGCTTTTGACCTCATAATCCGGCTACCAGAGGCCACTGTCACTAACAGGAAATCATGATGCCATTTCTACATGAAAATTAAACCATTTTATCCCAAGAAAAGCCCCAAAATGTTATTTTTAGTAACTGTAATCATAGTTGTGTGAGATAGTGATCTACTTCCTTCCACACTGAACATATAGATTTTCTTCTTTCATCTCACTGATACCAGTTTGTAGCCCACTGTATTTGTCTTGTGCTTCTTGGATGGCTTGTGTGATGGATTTGTTAATTATTTTTTTTAAAAAGGTTGCAGCTACACCGTTGATCTATCTCTTTCTTGGTCTTCCCCTCAGCATCCTCCCAGATGTTTGGCTGTAAAAAGTCTCATCTGCAGTCTGTTCTAGTTGCATTCTCACTAGATGGCTGAACCATTTTATTCTTTGTCAATATGATTCGGAGTCTTGTTCCAACTGTCTCTTTCATGCTGGTATTCATTACCCTGTTTCTTGTTGTGTTGTTAGTGACCTTGCGGAGACAGCACATTTCACAGGAAGTTATTTTCTCTTCTAGTGCCCTATTCGTTGCATACATTCAGGAGGAAGATACTGTTATGCTGGAAGGGAGACATGTGGGTGTCTAAGCAGTGGGGCTAACTGGTAGCTGACTTCTCTCCTTGTCAAGTCTGCCAACTTCTGTAAATGTTTCTCAGATATTTGAATTTTTGTACTTGTTTGATTGAAGTACTAAAAAAGAAAAAGTAAAGTTGGGAGATGTGAACCAGCGTCATTGCAAGCGGTTATAAACCATAAGTGCTCTGCCACCAGTATGGACAGCTGATAAGAAACTGTCCGCCTGTGTCGCCGTCTGCGTGCAGCTCCGTAGCTACAGCGACGTTCCTCCATTTACCCCAAAGTGTTAACTCTGGTACCCATTACATAGAGGCTGGGTGAACCCTGGGAGCCACCCGGTTTTGAACACCGACCGTGGGCTGCAACGATTGTAGTACTATTAACATAAACGTTCATGTTATTATGTTCATTGCCTTTTCAAATTATCCCAATTTTTGCTGTGTTTATTTTCATTTCATACTTTGTACAGGTTTGATATAAAGATTCAGTATGGTTTGACACATTGATAAATTATATATATATATACACACACATTTATATTTTAACTACTGGGACAGCCTGAGCAGCCTGTGATAGATGTTGCTTGAAAAAAAAAGAGAGAGAGAGAGAGAGGGAGAGAGAGTAAGTAATATAAACTGGTAGTCTAATAATCAACTGTTCACTCAAATGTTGTACACGTGAACTTTCCACAGTCTGCTCTGGTGAAGCAGTTTTCTCCCAGTGATGAACCCTGTTTATGGATATCACTGGGCACCTCATGTCTGAATGACAGTCTCTCAGAATCTGTCAGGCATATTCTGATATCCTGGGCCTTGTCTGTTTTACAAACACCAGCAGTTAAAGCACTTGAAGTGGTAAGTACATTAGTACATAAAGGCTTCCCTATTTTGTTGGAACTACCGTATTTTTTCCTTGTAAAAATGATACGTTTTCCCAAATATTTCCGTACATAAGATGGCCCCATGTATATGACGACCTCTATTGCTTTAACACAAAATTAAGAAACAGATATTTTAAACATATTTAATATATGCACAGAAAAGTATGGTAATTTAAAGGAGCGGTTATATCTGGTTTTCTTCTGTTTCTGTCATTCTTGTCTCTAATCCCTGTTCCGCTTGTCGGTGTCAGGTTTTGACATGGCATCTCTTGCCAAGCTTGTGTGTAATATGAACATGCTGGTATTGATAGTCTCAGATGTTCCATCTATCCATTGATTATTTGAACGACCTCTCACTCTGATTGTGTTTCCATAATATCATTTACACACACATAGTGCAGATATCCAAAATATCATATTTTTTTCACACACATGCACACACACACGAAACACACACACGCACACACACAAACACACGCACAACTCTTCGTGATCATTTTTAAATAATTCTAATACAGTAGTAGCTCTTTATGTGTTCTGAATCTGTAACTAGTCCTTGGATGTCTACCATTCAGGATGTACAACAAGTAAAGTTTCCCATCAGAAATAAAGGGAGAATGATTCATCCTTTCCCATGAAACAAATCTGATTGTTATTGGTATATTAGACATTGATGGAGTTGTATAAGATCATGTATGTACTGCCTAATACTCAAATACATGATTGCAAAAGCAGTTAGCTGAAATACATGAAAAATAATGTTACTTGGCCTTTGTCGGGAAGAGACGAGTGCCTACTATAATGGTACTGAGAAGGGAGGAGGAGGTAGAGATGTTATTATTTTAAAGAAAAGCTCCCTTCCAATAAAACTTCAGATATCTAAAATGGTAATGTTTTTTTTTCTGTCTGTTTTTGCTACTTGGACCTGGTTGAGACTCAGGTTTGAATTTTACTAAAAGTCTGTCCTGCATTCTCACGATATTTTGAAAATGTGACATTGTCTGGCAGCAGTACAGTCCTTACCTGCTTAGTCGATGGCCACAGCCCTAGCCATACGGCACTGAGTGCTTGGGGTCAATGACCCTCTCCCGCTTCCACGTCTGCAGCACAAAAATGATAAAAACAGGGGCAGTAACTGACTGTTTATTTTGGCAGCACATCCGGCAAAGATGGTGGGGGAGGAAAAAACACACACGCATCAACGCAAATACATACACACTCAAGAGAGAGAGAGAGAATAGAAGATCTACATTATGTACAACATTAAATTATTTTTATCTGGGTTTTTTTTTCCCAGTTGAATACGAGCAGGCTCTTTGCAGACCTATTGAAGGACCGGCCTTTATCAGAGTGTATGTCCCACCCACAGCAGGTCCTGCTAGTTAACAACGTATGTAACATATGGTCAGTGGTCCTGACCTCACCTCAGATGCCAGGACCTATCAGGGAGCTTCTGATAGTCAGGCTTCTGCAGGTGACCACATATTTGTTGCCTGACATGGAGGCAGGAGATATTCTCAAGGTATGTTACAGAATTACTGTAGATGTTAAAGCAGATAGAAGATGTCTTTGCCACTGATATTTACTGTAGATGTTACAGCAGATAGAAGATGTCTTTGCCACTGATAGCCCATTCATCCTTGCACTTTCCCAGATATCACGTATTTCTAGTGTTAATAATAAAAGAAACATTAATTCCATAGCTTTACAACTATTGAACATATACTCATAATATTTGGTACTTTTCCACCAGACTGAATAAGGAACGTATGTCAAGAACATATATTGCATAATCTTGTTTTACATCATCATTATGTGGCTTGACTATTGGTGCAAAAAAAAAAAAAAGCAACCCAGAAATCTTCTGTCTGACACCACATAAACTGAATTTCATGACATCACATAGACTGAACTTCATGACATCACATAGACTGAACTTCGTGACATCTGACTGTGAAATAATCAAATTGTGCAACTACAGTGGTTGTTTGCCTTTTGCACCCAAGTTTCTGCTGCATATAGGACTTTGATTATCAGTAAGCCAGTAGGTTTATGCATGAGGCTTCTGCAACCACAGTCAAGGCTACAGTACTACATTACTATCTGTGCCCTGACCGGTCACACTGACTTCTGCAGCATAGAACTATAAAAGTTGAAACTTTTTGTGAACAGGAGTCATACCTGAGGCTTTAGCTGCACAAAAAAACTAAGTCTAGGAAAGACAACATTTAGAAAGCAGGGAAACCTTGTTGTACTCAAATGGAAAGATGTGTGAGAAGTCAGTCTGAACATTACAGCTCACAACTGTTCTACGATACAATACATGAATATCAATCTTCTTCTTGTTCTTTCGTGTGCTTGAAATAGATAATCTATATCTGCAGTGTTGTCTCTAGTATGAACTTCACTGTCTTTAATAATTCACTCAGTGACCCATAAAGTTTGGCTTGCCCCGCTGTTTCTCTTGGCCAAAAGCTTGAATTTCAGACTAGAACTAGGAAAACAGACACATCCTTAAACTATCAGTGGCATAATACGCCAGCACTTGATATCAATGACCAATTCGTGACCAATACATTATAAATTAAAAAAAACAAAAACATTTTTCTGCAGTTTTTTAGTGACCTGTGCAGACTTTTTTAAATGGATGTTTTGCAGAAATTGCCATAGGTTTGTGATCTATATTAAAAAAAAACCCAAACATTTGTGGGTCAAAAGAGTTGAGGGCAAATGCAGAAAAAAAGGGGTGAACATTTCAATTAAAAGGAAAACCTTCTCCCTGTTGTGGGCATTTGACTGCAAAGTAAACATTGGTTGTATTTCTACCATTGGCTGTATTTCTCCCATTGGCTGTATTTTTATCATTGGCTGTATTTCTACCATTGGCTGTATTTCTACCATGGCTGTATTTCTACCATTGGCTGTATTTCTCCCATTGGCTGTATTTCTCCCATTGGCTGTATTTCTACCATTGGCTGTATTTCTCCCATTGGCTGTATTTCTACCATTGGCTGTATTTCTACATGGACCAGGTTCTGACTATTGTCCAGTCATCCGTCAAAACTGCACAAACTTCAGATGTTGCTGTTGCTGCTGCTGGTTGCCTGCTGTCATTTGGACATGTGAGGATAGCCCCATTGTTCCAGGTATGTTGTAGACCAGTTTTGTGGGACTCGTGGGCCGCAGACAAGTCCGAGTGGGTCGCCAGATATTTCTGCCGAATCATTAGCACATCATTGTTCTTTATGTTTTACTATGTAGCAGAGGCAGCCAGTGCCACATAGGGCTTTACAGTCCCGCATAGGGCTTTACAGTCCCACATAGGGGTTTACAGTCCCACATAGGACTTTACAGTCCCACATAGGGCTTTACAGTCCCACATAAGGTTTTACAGTGCCACATAGGGCTTTACAGTCCCGCATAGGGCTTCACAGTCCAGCATAGGGCTTTACAGTCCCACATAGGGCTTTACAGTCCCACATAAGGCTTTACAGTCCCACATAGGGCTTTAGTCTCTCATAGGGCTTTACGGTCTTACATAGGGCTTTACAGTCCTGCATAGGGCTTTACAGTCCTGCATAGGGCTTTACAGTCCCGGATAGGGCTTTACAGTCCCACATAGGGTTTACAATCATAGCAGGCAGTGTTCTCAAAACCCACGGCACAGCTCCATGGTTCTTAGGGGCTGATTGTTGCCTTCTGGATTATGAGGGTAGCTGTGTTTCACTTCATATGTTATGTAGATTACAGTGCTGTGAGGGTAGCCATGTTTGTCACTTCTTATATCATGTAGATTACAGTGTTGTGAGGGTAGCCGTGTTTGTAACTTCTTATATCATGTAGATTACAGTGTTGTGAGGGTAGCCGTGTTTGTAACTTCTTATATCATGTAGATTGTTGTGAGGGTAGCCATATTTGTCACTTCTTATTTCATGTAGATTACAGTGTTGTGAGGGTAGCCATGTTTGTCACTTCTTATATCATGTAGATTACAGTGTTGTGAGGGTAGCCGTGTTTGTAACTTCTTATATCATGTAGATTACAGTGTTGTGAGGGTAGCCGTGTTTGTAACTTCTTATATCATGTAGATTACAGTGTTGTGAGGGTAGCCATGTTTGTAACTTCTTATATCATGTAGATTACAGTGTTGTGAGGGTAGCCGTGTTTGTAACTTCTTATATCATGTAGATTACAGTGTTGTGAGGGTAGCCGTGTTTGTAACTTCTTATATCATGTAGATTACAGTGTTGTGAGGGTAGCCGTGTTTGTAACTTCTTATATCATGTAGATTACAGTGCTGTGAGGGTAGCCATGTTTGTCACTTCTTATATCATGTAGATTACAGTGTTGTGAGGTTAGCCATGTTTGTAACTTCTTATATCATGTAGATTACAGTGTTGTGAGGGTAGCCGTGTTTGTAACTTCTTATATCATGTAGATTACAGTGTTGTGAGGGTAGCCATGTTAGATGCTTCATATATCATGTAGATTACAGTGTTGTGAGGGTAGCCATGTTTGTAACTTCTTATATCATGTAGATTACAGTGTTGTGAGGGTAGCCGTGTTTGTAACTTCTTATATCATGTAGATTACAGTGTTGTGAGGGTAGCCATGTTAGTTGCTTCATATATCATGTAGATTACAGTGTTGTGAGGGTAGCCGTGTTTGTAACTTCATATATCATGTAGATTTCAGTGTTGTGAGGGTAGCCATGTTTGTAACTTCTTATATCATGTAGATTACAGTGTTGTGAGAGTAGCCGTGTTTGTAACTTTAAAAATCATGTAGATTACAGTGTTGTGAGGGTAGCTATGTTAGTTGCTTCATATATCATGTAGATTACAGTTCTGTGGGGGTAGCCGTGTTTGTCACTTCATATATCATCATGTAGATTACAGTGTTGTGAGGGTAGCCATGTTAGTTGCTTCATATATCATGTAGATTACAGTGCTATGAGGGTAGCAGTGTTTGTCACTTCTTATATCATGTAGATTACAGTGTTGTGAGGGTAGCCATGTTAGTTGCTTCATATATCATGTAGATTATAGTGTTGTGAGGTTAGCCATGTTTGTAACTTCTTATATCATGTAGATTACAGTGTTGTGAGGGTAGCCGTGTTTGTAACTTCTTATATCATGTAGATTACAGTGTTGTGAGGGTAGCCATGTTTGTCACTTCTTATATCATGTAGATTACAGTGTTGTGAGGTTAGCCATGTTTGTAACTTCTTATATCATGTAGATTACAGTGTTGTGAGGGTAGCCATGTTAGTTGCTTCATATATCATGTAGTTTACAGTGTTTTGAAGGTAGCCATGTTGTTCCAGGTAGTGTGTAGATGTTAAGACTCTCATGTGGGAGGTCTAGGTTCAAATTTCCAAAAAGGAGGTTGAGAATTTGTTTATTCACATGCAAAAATAGGATCCTAACCTGCACAGTGTATTGCCCGAAATCCTCTAGCTCAAAGACCCCCTGCCTACACCTACAAGTGCTTCAAGACAGGCAGTTTTTCATTAGGCAATTGCCAGCATCCTCTTAACATCAGCTTTTGTCCTTGCAGTTTACAGGTTAGCTGTGAGACATCTGCACCTTTCAGCCCAAACATGTCTGGTTTTATCGCTTTATTAGTTGCTTTTTACAACATGCTTATTAAGGGCATTAAGTCTTTTCCCCCAAATATACATCATCAGAGCTGCTGTCATGTCATCAGAGGTGTAGTTCTTCATCATCATCAGTTCTCGTTGTGCCTAGTGGCACATGAGGCTTCAGAGAGGACTTTCCATGCTCTTCTGTCCTGTGCAATCTTTAGTGCAGTTTTCCATGTCAAAGATGCCGCACCCAGGTCACTTTCTTCTTATAACAAGTCTATTCGCCGTGCAGAAGTCGCTGTCTTTCCCCGTTGTCATTAATTGTACCACATCCTTGATTTCCCATTGATAATTCTCTATTGAAGTTGTTGTTACCAACTTTTGCATTGAGATCTTCCATAATGCATAGAATATCATGGGCTGGTACTTTATCTACTACTACTACCTCTTGCAGTCTCCTAAAGTATGTTTCTTTAACTTCATCTTCAGCTTCATTAGTAGGTGTGTAGCATTGAATTACTGTAAGTTTGGCATGTTTCCCATTGAATCGTGCTGACATTATTCTTTCATTGATTAGATGCCACTTGATGAGATGTTTGTGTATTATACCTGTTATTATATATGTACTATTTCTACAACCCAAGGGTTCCCCACCTGTTGATTATATATGTGCTATTTCTACAGTCACAAGGGTCCCACACCTGTTATTATATATGTACTATTTCTACAACCCAAGGGTTCCCCACCTGTTGATTATATATGTACTATTTCTACAGTCACAAGGGTCCCACACCTGTTATTATATATGTACTATTTCTACAGCCCAGGGGTCCCACACCTGTTATTATATATGTACTATTTCTACAGCCCAAGGGTTCCCCACCAGTTGATTATATATGTACTATTTCTGCAGCCCAAGGGTTACCCATCAGTTGATTATATATGTACTATTTCTACAGCCCAAGGGTTCCCCACCTGTTATTATATATGCGTAGCATTTGATTACTGTAAGTTTAGCATGTTTCCCATTGAATCGTGCTGTCATTATTCTTTTATTGATTGGATGCCACTCGATAAGATGTTTGTGTATACCTTTCTCTAAAATAAGTACCACGCCTGCAGAATGTAGGTTATCATCTTTTCCAGAGTATATTATGGTTTCTCCTGTACCTGTTGTGGATTGTCCAAACCCTGTCCACCTGCTTTCACTAATTCCAAGAGTATGCAGTTTATAGTTCTGCATTTCTTTAATTACTTGGGCGGTTTTGGCAGTTTCAAGCATGGTTTTTACATTCCAGAAGCCAATTTTTAATTTGGTTTTGACATCCAGCCGACTTGTTTTCTCATCATGGGCTTTCTTTCGGCTTTCACCCATGTGTGGTTCTTGTTAGCAATAAATACCATTAGACTAGCTCAGGATTAGCTGTGATGATATTTCTGTCCATCTGTTTATTCGATTTATTTTAACATACCAAGATAGTGAGTCGGACCACATGATTATAAATGTCCTTGACCTACAAACAGTCAGGATAAATATTACTGTCTTTTTCATTTGTAATTCTGCTTTTCCCTGTTTTCAACAGTCTCAGGTACTGAACAGGCTGTGCCAGCTATTCAACAGCCTGTTATCACATCCGGACCCACTGGTTCATCACCGGGCATTGGAAGCATTTGTTCAGTTTGCCAGTGAGACTATGTATGTAGAGGCAGTTGAGGCCTGCCTGCAGGGGAATGAAGCTCTTCAGATCAGAGTGGAGCACTTCCAGAACAGAGTTAGTACTTTGTGTTCAATTCTTTACACTGGGGTAGCCACCGTAGTGTAGCGGCTAGACCCTTGCTCGCAGAGCTGAAGGTCAGGGTTCAGGTCCTGACGGATCCATCCACTTAAATGGGTACAAGGTAAACTCCTGTGAGGTAAAGGCGGCCGGTGTGATGTTGACCACATCAACCCCTGAATACTGATTGGTCTATAAAATATAGGTCTTGCCCTATATGCCTGATACAAACCTAAAGGCATGGAGAAAAGTCCTTTATTTTACTTTACACTGTCAGATAGATCAACTTCCTTGTTTTTACTCTTATAGTTCTTTCCTGTGGTGGTTCCAGGGCCCTATTTGGGGGAGGGGGAAATGAATAGACCAACCTCCCCCCCCCCTCCCCAGTCAGTGACTATGGCTTAGGTGTTGTGAAGATAAGGCCCCCCGTCAGTGTCTATGGCTTAGGTGTTGTGAAGATAAGGCCCCCCGTCAGTGTCTAAGGCTTAGGTGTTGTGAAGATAAGACCCCCCGTCAGTGTCTAAGGCTTAGGTGTTGTGAAGATAAGGCCCCCCGTCAGTGTCCAAGGCTTAGGTGTTGTGAAGATAAGGCCCCCCATCAGTCTATGGCTTAGGTGTTGTGAAGATAAGGCCCCCCGTCAGTGTCTAAGGCTTAGGTGTTGTGAAGATAAGGCCCCCCATCAGTGTCTATAGCTTAGGTGTTGTGAAGATAAGGCCCCCCGTCAGTGTCTAAGGCTTAGGTGTTGTGAAGATAAGGCCCCCCGTCAGTGTCTAAGGCTTAGGTGTTGTGAAGATAAGACCCCCCGTCAGTGTCTAAGGCTTAGGTGTTGTGAAGATAAGGCCCCCCGTCAGTGTCCAAGGCTTAGGTGTTGTGAAGATAAGGCCCCCCGTCAGTGTCTATGGCTTAGGTGTTGTGAAGATAAGGCCCCCCGTCAGTGTCTATGGCTTAGGTGTTGTGAAGATAAGGCCCCCCGTCAGTGTCTATAGCTTAGGTGTTGTGAAGATAAGGCCCCCCGTCAGTGTCTATAGCTTAGGTGTTGTGAAGATAAGGCCCCCCGTCAGTGTCTATGGCTTAGGTGTTGTGAAGATAAGGCCCCTCGTCAGTGTCTATAGCTTAGGTGTTGTGAAGATAAGGCCCCCCGTCAGTGTCTATAGCTTAGGTGTTGTGAAGATAAGGCCCCTCGTCAGTGTCTATGGCTTAGGTGTTGTGAAGATAAGGCCCCCCGTCAGTGTCTATAGCTTAGGTGTTGTGAAGATAAGGCCCCCCGTCAGTGTCTATAGCTTAGGTGTTGTGAAGATAAGGCCCCCCGTCAGTGTCTATGGCTTAGGTGTTGTGAAGATAAGGCCCCCCGTCAGTGTCTGTGGCTTAGGTGTTGTGAAGATAAGGCCCCTCGTCAGTGTCTATGGCTTAGGTGTTGTGAAGATAAGGCCCCCCGTCAGTGTCTATGGCTTAGGTGTTGTGAAGATAAGGCCCCCCGTCAGTGTCTATGGCTTAGGTGTTGTGAAGATAAGGCCCCCCGTCAGTGTCTATGGCTTAGGTGTTGTGAACACCCTGGTTCAGTTCACTCTAATATGGCAGAATGGTAGGCCGGATAACTAACAAAAAAAGAATTCTAAAAATACTCAGTTTCTAGGCCACTTTATCCTTAAAAAACATACTTTTTTATATCAAAACCAGCAATTATTTATACTTTCTGATTTATTAGTACAGGCCAGTACTTTGTACCGATCTCCTAATGAAAGAATCAACATTATAGCTCACCGAGCATAGCCACAGATGCTCCCACATGTCTTGAGGTGTAGATGCTAACTGTTCCAGCAGCACACTGATTACACCTCCCTTTTCCTCTCATACGTTCCTCCTTGCCAGATCCTCACATAATTTCTCACTCACAGATTCTTACACATGCTGTTTCGTGTAATCTGGTGACTTTTATCAGCATTCTTGAAGAAATGATATTCAGAACGTCTCCTTAATCCAGTACAAATATTCCTGTAGCTATAACTTTTGTTGCCCGAAAATCTGTTTTTATTTCCTGGCACTCCTGCATGTCCCACAAAGTATATCCACCTCTCTCTGTAACTTTGAAATGTTGATTATTATTTATTGTCCTGTGTGTTTTTAACATTTATTACGAAAAAGGAAGTTTAGAAATACAACATTTTCTTCTGATTTAACCATTTGTTACTGGCAGTCAATTCTGAATCTTCTCCTTCAATGTGTTGTGTGAATTTCATTGCTGTTTTCTGCAACATCACCATAGTAACAGGCAAGTCTTTTCCTCTTTCCTGTTTATGCCACACAAATAAAGCTTTTTTTTTTGCTTCTTCATATTTAATTAATCAAGTAAAAGAAAGTGTATTGATCGGCACTCATAGAAAGAAGTAGAAAGATAGAAGAGGTTTCCCCTCTGTTTATTCTTCATTAATACCATGAACCATCATTTTTCTGACTTCTATTCCCAGATGATTCAACAGAACTCCACTGTTCAGTTTTTGCTCGATTTGTCTTCCACTCTCCAACTACTGTTCTTGACTCCTTACTCAGAAGCAATAGTTTTTTTGCTGTTACCAGTCGCTTTGTAGCACGTAATTTCTCCTCCTTAGCCATCATAAACTTTTTTGTTTATCACCAAATATGTAATTTTTAATTTAACAAACAACAAAGGATACCAAACATCAGTTTGATAAAGTGACCTGGAACAAAATCAGTCGTAGCCCACATTGTTGAAATCTATTACACAACTCATGAAGTGAAAAGAGAAAAGGGAAAAGGGGGGGGGGGGGGGTGTTGGATTGGTTGACATGACTGCCATGGTCAGAATACTTATAGCTAAAGTAAAGTGCTATGTATTATGTTTTGTTGGGTAAGTTTGTTATCTTTGAAGACATGAATAACTATTTCAAACACAGATCCCTTACCAGTCTTCACAGAAGGAGTTTGTATTAGTGGACTACTTGATAAGCCAAATGAGCCAACCAGCACAGGAGGAGGCAGTTGCTACAACAGGTGTGGGTAGCACAGCAGCAGACGTCAGTGTAGAAGTGGGAGATGAGGGAATAACAGTGAGATCTGCTGATGCCACCACTGACGTAGCTGTTGAAAGCTGTCAACAATCTGCCAGTGAGGTGAGTGTCTTTCTAGCAGGGTCAAAGTTCAGTCAGGTCAAGGACCTTTTGTGTGCCATTATTGCACCGGGGATATGATGCTCGACTATAGTATTGGATACAGAAAAAAAACAGGTGGGGAACCCTTGGGACTGTAGAAATAGTACATACATAATCAACAGGTGGGGAACCCTTATGGCTGTAGAAATAGTACATACATAATAAACAGGTGGGAAACCCTTGGGACTGTAGAAATAGTACATATATAATCAACAGGTGGGGAACCCTTGGGACTGTAGAAATAGTACATAAATAATCAACAGGTGGGGAACCCTTGGGGCTGTAGAAATAGTACATATATAATCAACAGGTGGGGAACCCTTGGGGCTGTAGAAATAAAAAAAAAAAAGTAAAGTAAAGTTCCCTTTTCACGCCTTTCGGCGCATCGGGCATATGGGCAGAGCGTCCCATATTTTTACAGACCATCAGCACTCTGTGGGTAATGTGGTCAGCATTACGCCGGGCTGTAGAAATAGTACATATATAATCAACAGGTGGGGAACCCTTGGGGCTGTAGAAATAGTACATATATAATCAACAGGTGGGGAACCCTTGGGACTGTAGAAATAGTACATATATAATCAACAGGTGGGGAACCCTTGGGGCTGTAGAAATAGTTCATATATAATCAACAGGTGTGAAACCCTTGGGGCTGTAGAAATAGTACATATATTATCAACAGGTGGGGGACCCTTGGGGTTGTAGAAATAGTACATATATAATCAACAGGTGGGGAACCCTTGGGCTGAAGAAATAGTACATATATAATCAATAGGTCGGGAACCCTTGGGGTTTTAGAAATAGTACATATATAATCAACAGGTGGGGAACCCTTGGGGCTGTAGAAATAGTACATATATTATCAACAGGTGGGGAACCCTTGGGGCTGTAGAAATAGTACATATATAATCAACAGGTGGGGAACCCTTGGGACTGTAGAAATAGTACATATATAATCAACAGGTGGGGACCCTTGGGACTGTAGAAATAGTACATATATAATCAACAGGTGGGGGACCCTTGGGGCTGTAGAAATGTACATAAATAATCAACAGGTGGGGAACCCTTGTGACTGTAGAAATAGTACATATATAATCAACATGTGGGGAACCCTTGGGGCTGTAGAAATAGTACATATATAATCAACAGGTGGGGAACCCTTGGGACTGTAGAAATAGTACATATATAATCAACAGGTGGGGAACCCTTGGGACTGTAGAAATAGTACATATATAATCAACAGGTGGGGAACCCTTGGGACTGTAGAAATAGTACATATATAATCAACAGGTGGGGAACCCCTGGGGCTGTAGAAATAGTACATATATAATCAACAGGTCGGGAACCCTTGGGGCTGTAGAAAAAGTACATATATAATCAACAGGTGGGGAACCCTTGGGACTGTAGAAATAGTACATATATAATCAACAGGTGGGGAACCCTTGGGGCTGTAGAAATAGTACATATATAATCAACAGGTCGGGAACCCTTGGGGTTGTAGAAATAGTACATATATAATCAACAGGTCGGGAACCCTTGGGGTTGTAGAAATAGTACATATATAATTAAAAAAACATGTTGATTGGCACTTAGGGAAAGAAGGAGAGACATAAAAGAACACACTAGTCAACTGGTCATGCTTCTTAGTACACTTTTTTTTGCAGCAAGGTGCTGTCGTCATTTGGTTTGATTCCTGGTATGGACACTATAACATAAAATTACATAACCCTTGATCCATTAGAGTCGTGGAGGTGTATTGATGCAAAATCCGCCATCTTTCTCTGTCTTCTGCTTGATGAATAAGTATGAAAACTTAGTCCTGTCCATTTCTTGATGTTGTCATTCTAGTTTCTTCTTTTCCCTCCTCTTCTTCGACTAACCCCTAATGTTCCTTGAAGTACAGTCTTTGCTATCAAATCATGCCTCACCACGCGTTCAGACCAAGCTAGCTTGCGACGTTTCACCACTGCCAAGAGAGGCTCCTGATGTGTGATGTGATTTGTATATTTTATCTCTGACATATTTATTAATATTGTGCTCTAAATAACTAATTCGTAAAATGTGTCTGTAGCATTTGAAAGCCTAAATATGGATGCTATAGCTTTCAGTTTTTATGTTGACTAGTGTGCCCATTTACCTTTCTACTTCTTTCTATGTTTGCTGGTCCACACTGTTTGTTTCATTCCCATTTTCATATTTTCTGTCTTGGATAATCTGTTTCATTCATAGTGAACTGGCTCGTTGGTTGTTCCCTCTGTCATCTTTCCTTTGATACTGCTATCTGGTAATCAGGTAATCACAGTTCCAACTTCAAAACAAACAGGTTAGTCCATAGAAGCCCTGTCCCTGTGCCAGTAAAAACCACACAGAATGTCCATCACTGCCCCTTGTGAGAATGGTCGTCACAGTATGTCCATCACTGCCCCTTGTGAGAATGGTTGTCACAGTATGTCCATCACTGCCCCTTGTGAGAATAGTCGGCACAGTATGTTCGTCACTGCCCCTTGTGAGAATGGTCGGCACAGTATGTTCATTACTGCCCCTTGTGAGAATAGTCGGCACAGTATGTCCGTCACTGCCCCTTGTGAGAATGGTCGGCACAGAATGTCCATCACTGCCCCTTGTGAGAATGGTCGGCACAGAATGTCCATCGCTGCCCCTTGTGAGAATGGTCGGCACAGTATGTCCATCACTGCCCCTTGTGAGAATGGTCATCACAGTATGTTCGTCACTCCCCCTTGTGAGAATGGTCGACACAGTATGTCCATCACTGCCCCTTGTGAAAACGGTCGACACAAAATGCAGTTTCAGCAAATCCAGCAGTGTAACGGGCATTCAATGTACAAGTCAGCAGTCAGAAACGCCAGCATAAACATTCTAACATTATAAAGCAGTTCACCATTGATGGAATAAGTGCTTAAACACATCAGTAGTTGCACATGCAATTAATTGCAGAAGGCACCACAGTTTCTCTGGCAACAGGCCACTCACCATTTTCTAAATCTGCACTTCACAACACAAATCAATGATGACTTTCTCTTTTTGATATTTATGAAAAGTATCTTATACTATTTTTCTACAGTAACCTAAGTCCTGATACTAATCTTAACTATCTATCCCAAACGATTTATGATCTTTGAATCATCCTATCTACCAACCCCCAACTTTAGCTCAATATGCTCTCTTACTTTTGTATTTGGTCTAAAGACACTCAAGAAATCTGGCTTCTCCAGTGATCACTCACCATGCAGAGGTTCTTTGCAGAATCTCACTCTCATCACAGTCTGCCTGAAAGAAACTTAGTTTCTCACTAGCTCTCCCGCTTCATATCCAAGGAGTCACTTCTATCCTGTGCCCATCTTCATGTTGGTCGGCCTCTGCCCCTCCTTCTTGATACCAGGCCATTTGCCATTACTCCCACCCCCAATCCGCCGTAGCGCTTGACATGATCACTACTATTGTTATTTTACTAATTTGAAAATATTTTATAAATGAATTTTAATCACTGATATTACTTACACGACACTTTGTGGTGCTGAAAGTTAAACTTTATCTACTCCTATGTTTACAGCATCCTGCCAAACGAGCTAGATTGTCCACCTCCTCTTCAGATCTAACAGTGCCAGCATCTCAGGCTGAAAGCTCTAGACCAGAAACATACCAAAAGTTCCTGGAAACTTTATCTACTGTAGCCAGAGACATGGAACTTGAGTTCAGACAAGCAGGCCCTCCACCTCCATCTTTTGTTGACGCAGTCAAAGAGGCCCTGACTCGAATCAGCTTCTGCATGTCGTCACACAATAATTGGTTTGATAGTTTATCGTGACAGAGGCTTTGACTCGAATTAGCTTCTGCATGTTTTCACAAAATAATTGGTTTCATTATCATAACACACTCACACAAAATTATTGTCATCTGTATTTTGATTTTACTTGGACTTGATTTTGCTACAGACGTCAATAAATAAATTACAACAGTATAAAAGCAAATACCCTGTTTGTCAGTGTTATAACTAGTTCATTATATGTTCATTGTCTACAAGCAGACTTTAAATCAAAACCTTACAGGTGGGATAAAATTACAATAACCATGCCATTATCTTATAATCTATCAATACTGTTAACTCTTTGAGTCCCAGGGAACGCATCATGTTCATAGGTTCTTACCTAGAAGCCCAATGAACGCATGATGTGTTGATTTTAGTCTCTCTTTACTACCCATTGGGCCTGTGATGCTAAACCCCCTGGGACTCAAAGAGTTAAGGATGTCAAGAGTGTGTCTACAGACTAAACAGAAGTTTGCAGGCAGTATCTATGTCTCCCACATCTTCCTTTGTATCTCTTAGTTGTTAGTCCAGGTCTATCATTGCTGCAGACAGCTCGCCCCATAACCGCTCCATTCCCATGCCAGCAGAAATGCCTTTGTCCTGTTTGAGAATTAGTGGAACCAGTCACAGCAAAATCTGGAAACTTGCGTAAGTCGCCTGGCATATGTGCCAGCACTTGTACCTCTGTAAGAATGAAGGGACCTTTTCATGCCTGGATCTTCCCTGCTGAGTTCTGGGACCTCATTGTGTGAAAATAAGAATATACTTACTGCCTCACTAACAAACATGTTGTAACAGCTGACTAATTAAAGGTTTCCCTTGGAGTCGGAGTGCATCTACCTGAGAGGCAGGGAACCAACAATCTGCATTCTGGTAAACTAGATCGGTAAAATGGATGGGCACTCAACGGCAAGTTCTGGAAGAAGACTAAAAGTCCAGAAGTGGACTAACAACCATTAACACACACCCCCCCCCCCCCCCCCCCCATTAACTCTAATCTCTTGTTTGTCTTTTGAAAGTGCATTCAACTTTCCTTATCGATTAGTCTCAAATATTTCACCATTTGCTGTGTGTATTCTTGTAATTGACCGCCTGATCTTTCTGCCTTCCTCATTCAACTCAGCTACTGTCTATTTAGTGCAGACATAATGACAGCATCAGAGTGGAGACAGTGATGGAGAATGACAAAATGGAAACAGTGAGAGATGAGAGCGAGACCATGAAATTCAGACAGAAATGACAAGAGGGAGACGACAGTGAGAAACGAGAAGGAGACAATGACAGTCAGACAGAAATGACAAGAGGGAGGCAATGACAGTGAGAGATGAGAAGGAGACAATGACAGTCAGACAGAAATGACAAGAGGGAGACAATGACATTAAGAGACAGACAATGCCAAAAAAAAAGACAATGACAGTGAGAGACAAAGACAAGAGGGGAGAATGACAGTGAGACAGACAATGACAGAAACAGACAGGGAGAGACAGGCAATGACAAGAGGGAGACAGTGACAGTTAGAGAAAGACAGTGACAAGAGGGAGACAATGACAAGAGACAGACAAAAACATGAGGAAGACAGTTACAAGAGGGAGACAATCACAGTGAGAGACAGACAGTGACAGGGAAAGACAGAATGACAAAAGGTGACAATGACAGTGAGAGACAGTCAATGACAAGAGGGAGACAGTGACAGAGAGATACAGTAACAAGAGGGAAAGTATGATACAGAGAGAGAGAGAGAGAGAGAAAGAGTGTGACAAGATGGATCAATGACATGAAAAAAAGGAATGCAGTGAAATCATGACTGTGAGACAGATACACCAAGAGATGATAAAAGGAGGAAGATGACGACAGAGAATGACTTAGAGATGCATACAGAGACACAGTAACAAGAGAAAATGGCATACAGTTCATACTAAGTCAGTGATTAGTAAAATACCAAGAGTGATAATATATTTTTTTAAAAGATAAAAATAAAAAGTTACAAAACAGATAATGTTGAGAAATGCATTAACACAAAGTAAGTTAATTCGACATTGTTGACTATATTAAAACGTAATATAATACACAAGCCAACATTATAAACAGTATAATTCACAAGCTTTGTATTGACGTAACAACAGATAACAGTAGTTTAAACAAGGGAAAAACAATTTTCACTGTAAAAGTCTTATTAAAAACAAACACAGACTGGCTCTGACTACACAGCTGTAACTCTATTTATTCTCAAACACCGACTGGCTCTGTCTACACAGCTGTAACTCTATTTATTCTCAAACACAGACTGGCTCTGTCTACACAGCTGTAACTCTATTTATTCTCAAACACCGACTGGCTCTGTCTACACAGCTGTAACTCTATTTATTCTCAAACACAGACTGGCTCTGTCTACACAGCTGTAACTCTATTTATTCTGTTTTATTTACATAAAGAAAATAATACCAGTAAATTCAACAAACATCTTCCTTTAAAGCTTTCCAACAACAAAAACAACAGAAGGAGTCTGTGACATCCAGCACACCATTTATATTGTACAACATTCTGCCTCTAAATAAGTTGTTAAAGAACACCTCTGAGTCACAATGTAGATACAGAGCATACCTGATAAGGAAAACTCAAAGAGGACCCAAGAAATAGTTCTTCTTATCAGAAATTCCTCTTATTCAGATCGGAGTCTGAGCAAGAACAGATTCCAGGAATAAACAAACTATTCAAAACATAAATATGCCACATGTGAGTTAGCCTTTAGTGGTCTGCACTGTACATGGAATTATATTTTATCAACAACAAAACAAACACAGTCAGTAAATTACATTGACAAGAAATCACAGAAATGGGAAGGGAAAATGACGTTTGTTTAAACACTCATTGGTATGCCGTTCAGTGACTGAAGGGTAGTTAACCACAATTATCTGAGCTTGGAGAGGGGTGGAGAATTCTGCAACAAAGTCTTCACAGACAAGATGCTCCTTATCAAATGTGAATAATATTTACATTTTATAAAACCGGTGTGACCCTATATTCACCTTTACGAAAGAAAAAAAACCATATTTTTCATGGTTCAATTTTGAACCATTCCCCCCCCCCCCCCCCCCCCCCCCCCCCAACCAAAAAAAAAAAATGATGGTTGTGGCAGTTTAAAAAAAAAACATACATACAAACAAATCAACTTATACCAAAACTTTGGAAAACACTCAGATGGCCGAAGCTCTGCTCTATTGGGAAGATGACTGAAGCTATGCTCTATTGGGAAGATGACTGCAGCTATGCTCTATTGGGAAGATGACTGCAGCTATGCTCTATTGGGAAGATGACTGAAGCTATGCTCTATTGGGAAGATGACTGAAGCTCTGCTCTATTGGGAAGATGACTGAAGCTATGGTCTATTGGGAAGATGACTGAAGCTATGCTCTATTGGGAAAATTACTGAAGCTATGGTCTATTGGGAAGATTACTGAAGCTCTGCTCTATTGGGAAGATGACCGAAGCTCTGCTCTATTGAGAAAATGGCTGAAGCTATGCTTTGTTGGGATGATGACTGAAGCTATGCTTTATTGGGAAGATGACTGAAGCTTTGCTCTATTGGGAAGATTACTGAAGCTCTGCTCTATTGGGAAGATGGCTGAAGCTATGCTCTATTGGGTGCTGACTCGAGCTATTCACTATAGAGGCAGAATGAAACTCAAGAAGAATACATACACGTTCAAAGGAAATAAAAACTGCACTGCTCATGTACAGAAATATCAATAAACAGAGATTTGTGTGTCTTCAATACTGAGAATATGGTGGCAGTCTGTCATACAATTTGAGGATGGGGAGGGGGGAGATAACAAGGTTGCACCGGAGCTTTATGACCATTGAAGGTCTGCTTTATATGTAGCAGCAAGTTATACAAAATAATTCAAAGCCAAATATGAGTATTGTGAGAAAAACATAAAGCAGTTTTTTAAATGCAGTCTGCAATATTTGAGCTTGTTTAAACTTATTGCTTCTTTTTTTTATACAGTGAAGCATTTTTGTAAGCCTAACTAAACTTTGTAAAATTCATTCTGGCACATTATAATAATAATAAACACCAAAAAAACCGAAATAAAATTGATTTGCTTAGAAAAATCAGTAAAATGCAACTATAGTACAAGGTCCGACAATTAAGTAATGAAACTGATTTTATTATGGCCAAGACAAAAATGCCATCTATGAAGCAAAGCATGGAATCTAAAGTGGCAACATTCATCTATAATCTGGCAACGTTTTATCGCCGCTCGACAAGCAGTAGCAAACAAGCCACCATTTTGTTGACCTAGTCAGAGGTGCGTTGTTATGCAATCAGCACGGAGCAAAAAGCTGACATCAAATTCTTTTCAAAACTCAGAAAAAGCGCCATTGAAACAGTTCAACTGATGCAACAAGTTTATGGGGATAATTGTTTATCTTGTGCACAAATTTTTAGGTGGTATTCATGATTCAAAAGTAGTGTGGAAACGATTACTAATGCACCTAGACCTGGACGTCAAATTTCTGTTCGTATTGAAGAAATTCATTGCAAAAGTCATTGTTTTACTGTGAGGATGATGGCAGATGAATCTGGTGTTGAAAGAGAGACCATTCATAATATTTTAGTGTAAGATTTTGGCAAGAAAAAAGTTGCTTGCCGGTTTGTACCACATTTGTTGTCTGATGACCAAAAACAACAACGGGTTGAGTACAAAAGATATCAAAACAAGAATTGTTGGCCCCAAAACAAGTGTGTTCTCAGCCTTTCACCCTATTCCCCAGATTTGTCTCCCTGTGATTTTTTTCTATTCCCAAAATTAAAGTTCTGATTCCAAGAGCGCTTTTTTAACGATATTGATTACATCCAAAGGGCAGTAACATCGACTTTAAGGGTCATAACAACAGAAGAACTACAGAGGTCATTCCAGTGTTTGTTAGATCGTGCCACTTGTATGAATACACAAGGTTCTTACTTTGAATCAGATACAGGTCATATCTTCAACTGT